AACCTACTGACGCCGTCTCTCAGAATTTTTATAAATACTTGGCAGCCGGAACTGGGTACAATTGCTTCAATGTCAAGAGCATCCTTGGTGAGTAAGAAAGATTACTTCCCTGTGGAATGACGAATAAAAAAATCAGAATAACACTCGCAGGAGAGAAATGTACAACACCATTCCCAAGAAATGTAGACGTGCTTTTCTGCCGGTGATTTACTCAAACTATGGTGGTTTCACTATAGGTATTTCCTCGAAAAACGAGTTAAATATGGTTAAAAACCGCTCAAAAGACGAGGACAAAGTAGAGAACAAGCACGACAGGCAAGCGCTTTGTTTGCTTTAAGAAATAAAACAACAACATTCGTTTGAAACATATTTCCTCATCAGTCTACTGACACTAAAATAACCGTTTTTTTTGTGTGTGTGTGTGTGTTTTTATTTAACGCGTGAGAATTACAAAAGTTCATTCGTACTCTGAAAGTTCATATCGACTTTTCAGCCTTCAACTGAGCAAACCAAACGTAAAAAAGTAATATTCAGCTCGAATACCACCGAACTGAACAAATCAAATGTGATACCCAATTTAACTAGAACCAGCATGCTTTAATTAGTTAACAAACAAGAGAAACCAAAGGTCGACGATTGTACAGTTCTTTCTACAATAGTATAGGATTTCACTTCCTAAAAAAATAAAGTTAAATTCAGCGGGAAAGCAATGAAGAAGCCCGTGCATTGAGAAGTAAGCACAAGCTTTCCCGTTCCCCCAAACCATAAGCGCGTTCGCTCATAACAGCGTACAAACATTCCAAAATCAATGTCGAACATGCTATATAATAGACCCCTTTCAAGAAAAACCAACAGGCAACATTGTCGGTCGCCATTTCTCGTCGCACTAAGCGCTTAATTGGATCCGAGTCCTCGCCGAACTCTGACGCAGTCCTCGTATCCAGTATACATGCTCAGGGCATATACTTGTCCAAACAATGGCGGACTCGGATCATTTGCGCAGCCGCTACGAGATGGCGCGCTCTGTTTTGAAAAGGGCAAATTACAAATGGCGAGTAGACCGTCACATTTGACCAGCTCACGCTACAGTTCCGTGAACACCGATATACGAAGACCTTGACTTCAGTACTTTGAAGAGCAGAAGCAAAGATAGTTATGCAGAGTAACCCCCCTTCCCCCCCCAACTCGCAAACCTTGGAATGTCGTAAATATACACATGTACAACGACAATTAAGTTGTCGGCGACATTGGAACCGATGAATGTAGTATCAACTATATCGTATTGACGCGCGTTCGATATAAAACACTATCGCTACTGCGCTGTCTCAGTAGCGTGAACGGGGAATATACAACGAACTCCCGGTTTTTCTGGGAGGAGATCCCAATCTTGATATGGAGAGGTGGTGGGAGATATAATAAAGCGAATCACACGAGCAGGCGTAAAAACCTAATAACGCTAGTACGCTAGACTTTGGACCTTTTTGAGACCTTCCTGTTAATGTCATTGTGGCGATATAGTGTTTGGGACATTATTTACGTGAGTAAACTAAAAGAAATATAAAATAACGTTATTTTGCGAGCATCGTTTCTTGAAGACACATTCTAGCATCAGCCATAGATACCAGACTCCGAAGTGTTCTCGGGTCTTTACGCCACTCTGCATAAGTAACAGTCGTTCGCAAGGTTAGTTCCAACAAATACCAATATAAACCCTGTAGAGTGAAAGATGACTGCGAAGAACACTGCTAAGATTCAGCCTTGTTTCGGCGAAGAAATACGCGAAAGGGATAGTGTGGATACATGCGACCTCATGGTTTGCAGACGAAGCGCAACGAAAGCGGAGATTGAGCGAGCGCATCGTATACTAGGTTTGGCACAGCGAAGCTAGAGGCCTCATGGGTAGGGATCATTGCTTTCGGGTTTTAGTATTCATTAAATTCGGCGACATTTTTTTTTTTGGTGCTTATTAATTTCCTAGGGATTCGGTGCGGGGCGCGGCCCGTGAGATCCAGACTAGTACGTGCGCGTGATCCGAATTCTTCGAAATTCCTGCCGGTACCGATAAGAGAAGAAACGATCCCAAAGGGCGTGATTCACGACGAAAGCAGCAGCCACGAGGCAGACATGTTTACATGTCACCCCAAAAAAGTAACTAAACACGTTACTCGGTACCTATTCCCAAAAGGAACGCGTTACTTTACCTCAAAAGTAGCGAGTTACTTTTCTCGTTACTTTGACGGCCAAATAGAGAACTCCTATTGTTCCATGGTTCATTGTTTTCTTTTCACCAGTCGTTGCACTTAAGCACTAGCTGCCTCTCCAAGTTTTCGTCGGTTACGTTTCCCTGCTTCCTTGGGAATACATCTCGGGCGACGCTGAAGAGTCGTTCTACTGACGCGCTCGAATGAACGGCAGTGTTATCCTTCAGAAAGAGCTGGGGGATCTGGAATTCGCCTTTCTATTTGGTTCTCTCTGCTTCTAAAGTTCGAAGTTGACACTGGGTTCTGTGCCTTCCCGTGTTGGCAACCTCCGGGTTTGCATTCATACGTTACTTGTTACCCAACAAAAGTAACTAGGTAGAAATAACTCGTTACTAGTAACGCATTACGTACATGTCTGCCAAGAGGACAGTTTTTTGCTGGCTGCTGCGTTCCGAGTGAGTCAACAGAAAAATAAAATTATAGATAAAAAGAAAACTGCTTGCAGTGAAAGTTGGTTTCTTTTTTCGTATTCAAGAACACCTCCAATTCAGGTTTTTCTCTCTTTTTTTTTCTGTTTTTCCTCGATTTGGAGAAAACCGGCTCGGAGGTGACTTTTGGGGCGTTTATCATTTTATACCGAAAACACGGGAACCCCTAACCATGAGGCATTTACGCGTGAATCGTGCGACGCCTCGTGACTTTGGCGCTGTTAATTAGTAAAGTATTCGGGCTTGAGATTGCTGACTGTGATCTGAGCATCAAAGATTGAGAAAGACAATGATCCTACTGCATTGTATAGAAAGTCTGAGTCAGCGCTGATGTCTGACGAAATCTTAGATTAATTCGCGTAAAGAATGGGTACAGGATGAAGGGCGCTACATTGAAGACGCGAGAACGGCGTTTTTAAATGCCACGCTGGCAACGGCAAGTGTTGAGTGAATGATCCTCGCGCAAGTGGCAGCCGGACAATGTTAAGTGACATCAGACCGATACGCCCAGCACACTGCCATTTTCTTCGAACAAGGTGATGCACCAAACTTTTGAGGGGGCCATGAACCAAACTGTAAAAGTTACGGATAATCTAAGAACATAGGAATGGTGATAAGAGGAGCATGAGCAACACAAAGATCGACATTCGTTGTTGACAGAAAAATTATCCGATAGCAAAAGCAGTCACAGGAAATTGCCCACCACACCACACAGCAAATAGTTTAAAGGAATACTGAAGAGGATTGGGAGACACGTTTTTGATCTGATTGCGTGTCCCGTGCGTTGAGCAGTGATAAGCAGCATTTATAAATATCTAGCACAAGTCTTAAGAAACAACAGAAAACAACAAGAGAGACGGAGGGAGAATTAACGAAGAAAGTAAGCTTAAGGTTGTCTTCATTCTACGCCAAGGCCAATTTTGTGCAAGGTTTAACGGGCGGTTTCCCGCACGGTATGCACAGCAGAAGGGGCTTGCGAAGGATTGCGGTCTGAGGCTCACCTGGAATACCATACCGAAAAGAAGTTTAATCGAAAGCGCCTAAGAGTGCCTGTTTTCTCTGAGTATAGCGCCAAGGTACAGTTTAAGAATAGTTAACGACTAGGATTCACTACTGTATTCAGAATGCATTAACGTTGAGTTGCTCATTGCACGTGGATGCAGAATAGCTCCCGGTTCTATTAGAGTCGGGACATTTTTGGGGGACGTAACATGCAATAAAACAAATCGGCTGACACTGTTTAGTAGCGTGTACCATACTATGTTTCCCCTTACATCCGGACGCAGTCGACGCTGGATGGGACCAATCAAACAACTTCAAAAGCGCAACGATACGGCGTTTGTTATGTTTGTGTACGTGTTCTATCATTGTCGAACGAATCGTGTTCATGGCTAGCCCAGTGATTCGTGCTTTTGACGTTGGTTGCTTATTGGTTCCTTTAGCTCGTAGCGTCGGCTGGGCAATCAAAAGAATAATTGTTTCTCTAAGGGGCCTAGGTGGGACACGTATATTTACAGAAAAGTTCACCACATATTTGTTTTTTTCCCCGAGCGATATTTACAGCGCTAGACGTAATTTAGGTGGAGAAGGCGGAAGGCGCAACCCGCTAAGCCCCGCCCCCTGCTTACAAGGTGCACATGTCTTTAATTGGCTGGAGAGATGGTTGACGTGTGAAAGGTTGGTCCTAAATTTGTGCCTCCGTGCCATATTAGTAATTTAATCGTCAATTTCTTGAGAAGCAAATAATCGTGATAAATTAATAATTGTTATCAAATTTATTCTGAAATTGCTTCTCCCGCTTTGGTTTGAAACGTTAACAAACATGGCTGCCGGAGTCTGCGGAGCGCTGAACGAGCGTAGCACGGTGAGCTCGTCAATATTTATGAGTCCGAGTCGTTTTTCGTTTACAGCGCTGTTTAGAGGAAGATTTCATCATCCGTCATAGTTTGCAGCAAAACAACTGTCGCAAGTTGGCACCTTCGGAAGAGCTGTGCAATGGACCTTTTCCAAGAAGCGTTCTGCGCACGCGCGATTGTCCGATGCCAAGCGGCGGAAGTCGGTACGAAAAATCGAGGAAATTCGGAAGGAGGCAGTTGATCAGCGAGTAGAACACGTAATTGCAGCATATATATAATTGAGTTTTGAGTTTCACAAAAAAAGAAAGTGGACGGAAAGAAAAACGCGACGTTTGGGTCGCGTGTTTCTTTCCCCTCTTTAAAGTCGCGTTGGGCACGCGTTGCAGCTCAGAGAGCGAACGAACTGGTAGCGCAACTCCCATTATCGATTGGTAGCGCAGGTAGGTCACTTCCTCAATTTTTAGTTCGTGCAGCCACCGCCTGGTGCCGTCGGTATGTGGAAAAGGTCCATTATGCGAGTGTTTCGTAGCGGGACTGGCCCAAGCCTAGCGTCCCACATTCACTATTTGGATCGATCTTGCTCGATTGCTTTTCTTTGCACCTATTTGTGCTGAATAACGATGTTGGGACCCGTAAAAGCGGCCCAGTTGATCTGCGAATTGTGCAACCGTCGTCTGTTGCGAGAAGATTCCTACACAGGTAAGAATTTGCGAGCCGTTTGGCTGGAGGCAATCGGGCGTTCGGGTCGCATCAAGTCTGTCTAGATATGCTCCCGTCATTTCGCCTCCAAAGGCAAAGAGCTCTAAAGTTTTTCGCTCCCCCTGGCCTACCAAAGCGAATATTTTTACAGTGCGTTTTAATTGTGAGTCATGACGCTCACCCACCATGCTCGCGGATGCCATGTAAAATAAGGAAATAAAAATAGCAAGAACAGTAAAACTAAAAGGAATCCCTACCGAAAAAAATATTTTACAACTTTTCACTATCTGGATTATGGACTAGGAAATCTAACTGGAATGGTTTATGGAAGTCTAAAATCCATATTGCAAACAAAGCAATTATTTCTGAAAACCTGAAATTCAGATAGAATCCAGATATATTTCAATTTCCATAATCCAGATAGCGAAAAGTTATACTGGGTCTTTCGGTAGAACTGCATATTTATTTGGTTGATTTTTTTTTTCGTTCTCTCGGTCGCTTTTTACCGTACTTTGATAGACGCTGACAGACGTACGCTTGTATCGGAACGTGGCGCGTGCATGATGGAACGCTAGAGCGCCGCTTTCCTGGTCGCGTCTTGCAAGCGTTGCGGACGTTTTGAGACGGGGGCGGAATAGCAGACGGACGGAGGCGAAAACGGACGCCGACGCGCAGGTTTCGCGTCCGCGTCTCACTGCCATCGCAGAAGACGATAGACGGAGGTGTGGAATAGCAGACAATGCCGGAGGCTGCCAAGCGTATACGCTCGCACGACTAGCAGGTGGCGACAGACGCCAGACTATGGTGCCTGGATCGCGTCTCCGACACGGTGTGTTTAGCGTCCTATCCCGCCCGTACATCAAAAGTGGTCCAAAAGTGGCAACAAATGACGTCACAGAAGCCGGAGTGTCATGCTGTTGCCTGTCGCGATCCTGGCGGTCGGCCGTAGAAATGCTGGCGAAAAGCACGAGCGAACGCGACTGTCGCTGTGGTCACGGCGTCCCAGGCGTCCCAACTTCCTGCTGCAGTAGCTTCCGTGGACTGCCACATACACCACAGCTGTTGGAGTGCCGCCAGGATCGCGACCGGCGACAGCATGACACTTGTAAGACGTCATCAGGCGGAAATTGAGGGACCACTTTTTTGGCCGAGGTAAATACACCAGTCGGAGACGCGTTCCAGGCACCACACCAGACTAGTTAGCGTGTTCGGTCGAGCAGCCAAGCCAGTCCAGTGGTAATGGGCGTGGCCACTGGTTTGTGGGCGGGGCTTAGAGCGGGCCATGACATCCACCTAACTTGCGTCCAACAGCGTAAACATCGCACGAAGAAATTTTTTTTTTCGTAGTAAAATTACTAAAAAAACTACGCGTCCCATATAAGCTTTTAAAATTGTGTTTTTCATTGCAGCGTCTTTTTAAAGTGAAACGAAGTATAGCCCATTTCCCATTATGTGCAGATACTTCATTTGATTCAGTTTCTATCTTTCTTCTTTGTACTATTGGCGTTTGATTCATATCTAAAACAGTAAGTTTTCATAGCCCTACTAACAGGGCATTTCGAGAAATTAATGTCTAACATTCAGAGTAAAACCTTGGCTGGTATACAGAATCAATGCTGTTTTTGTCAAATAATTATAGATGTTAACACCCTCAAAGCGTAATTTTCTGCAGAAGGACATATGTTATGTTGCCCCATGTGTAAAGGGATGCACTTACCAAATATGGTTATTAATAAAATAAAGCCTAACATCATCTTCAGTGTCCCTTTAAACAAAGAAACGAATAAAATGAAGAAACAAACAGCTAAAAACACACACAACCGACTGGAATGCATCTCCCAAGTTCACTTCTCTTCACAAAGGGGCAGAAATCTCTGTTATCTTACAGGTCCTGCATAACCTCAAAGCCGGAAATTCGAAGCTAAAATGAATGCTAAGAGAACAAAAACGTAGTCTGTGTCAGCGAGTATAACCAAATCGGCCAGTATACTCTTACCGGAACAACCGACGAAATAAAGCACGATTCTACACAAAATGCCCCAGCAACGGAAATCAGCCTCTCGATTGTGGTCAATGCTCTTGGAGAGGAACGCCATTTCCACCATGTACCTCATTCATATAATACGTTACAACAACACAAAAACAAAACGCGACAGAGATACCGTATCCTATGACTGTATGGTGTCCCCAATAACGAGTGAGCACCAGACGAAAAAAACAATCAATAAAACAAAATCCCCTACAGCGACCACACACTGTCAGATCGCCACCAGTCGCTACTATAAGCTACTCTCCATCGGCGGCGGTCTGGACTGCCGAGTGACCACGGGTGAGCACTTAGACGTCCTCGGACCTGAAGTCACCACCAACCCGGGTGGGCGTCTGGGCTCGTAGTGGCCTTCCTCACCTCCGGAGTCACTACTAATCTCGTCCTCTTCCTCAGAATCACTCCTGGGCGACGGGGGTGGCGATCTCTGGCAGCACGTGTAGCCATAGACGTTCGAAGACTGTTGTTCTTCGGCGCACGCTGGCGGAAAGGATTCCCCGGAGTTGTACATGCTGTCTCCGGAGTCTTCCCCGTCGTCGGCGGGTTCTCGTGGCTCGTGTTCTTCGAGCAGTCCGCGGTCGTGCCAGACGTCGTGTGAACCGTACAGGTCGAAGGTCACGTGCTTTGTCTCGCGTGGGGTGAAGAGCCGTTCTCCCGTACTCGTGCTCGCGTAGGTGCTGTCTTTCTCGGACGCGTACAAGATGCTTCCTTGATGACTTGGCTGCTGTTCTTCGGTGCGTCCATAAAATCCCTCAGCCTTAAAGTCCTGCAAAGAAAAAAAGCCAACGTATATGACATTATTGGCACAAGGAGGATCGGTGGCCAGGTGCGTTTAAAGGGGCCGTGCAACAATACTTGGTAGAAATGTTTCTCACTTTACACGAGCTTGCTGGCAGTAGTGCAACCCAAGGATACTTAAGCGCAATGCAATTAAGAAGAAGCGTCTTTGTGGCGGTGAAATTTGAAGGATAAAAGCGAACGTTTTCTTTCAGTCCCTCCTTCGCAAAACCTGATGACGAAGCTGCGGGGACAACGCCGACATTGCGATCCCGGCATTTCGTCATCAAGCTTCGTGATCCCCGTTGCGACGATATTTAAATGTAGTTCATAAGGTGGACACGAGCACTGCGTGGGCATTCGATGTCTGTTCGTAACAATCAACGGCTCGACATGCATTCCGGGATCGTCGGCGGGAATAGCCGAACCATAACAATGCGTGGCATTCAGCCCGCACCCCGTGCTTTTTCAATCCCTGCGCGTGGATATATGTTAAAGCATTGGTAGCATTTAATCGGCTCCAGGTCACGTGGCCGCTTGTTCTGGCTGAAAGTTGAGGCATAGCCTCCTTTATATTCACAAAGCCTGGCAGCTCGTTGACGGAGCCATAGAGTGCCGGTCGCAGATTTGGAGCGCGAGGATCTGGTAGCACAAAGCATTTCTCGGGCAGTCTGGTATTCAGCGCACAGCTTTTGTAGCGGCGAGGACCCGAAACATGGTTTTCAAACCAGACGAGAAAAGAAGCGGTAGCCCGAGGAACGCGAGAAGCACGAGCGGACATTCCATCACTCGGGAGAAGGGTGTTTCGGCGTCTCGGCGCAGCGGGGCGCCCGTTACATGACTTTTGTCTGCCGCTCTACCTTTTCGCTTTCGGCGGCCGCGTCTCGTGGCGATCTGCCAGGCTTTGTCAGTATTAACGGCGAGATGTTTTGGTGGCGCCCTCTTATAGTTCCCTCTCGTGACGTCATTACCATGCGGACAGCAAGTGGGATGGTGTTTGCAATGAGCATGGTGGAAGCTAGAAATCACTGCGCTCTCAAAGCAACACTGCCAGCACCGTGAAAATTAAAGTTCTTACATTCCACTTATTTCTGTCGATGAGGAAACCTTTGCAGACGTCATAGTCAGCATTCGGCCAATCCTGGAAGGCCGACAACAGCGACGCTTTCGATCGCGCAAGTCACCGATAGAGGAGGCTATGGTTGAGGAGGTCAACGCTGTTCGTTTTTTTCGAATTCCGTATTTACTCGAGTAAAGGATGAACTCCATGGAACGAATTATGGGACGAATAACTGGCGAACGCCGCCCGACGGCACGCTCGCTTTGCGCGCGACGTAGCAGCCACTGTGGTGATTCCACCCGCAAATCAACACAGTGATTCCATGATTCCCATGGAATGACTGTGTTGATTCCATGGGACGAGTATGCGGCATGCGCCGCATATACGTCCCATGGAGTTCAGCCTTAATAGCCGCGCTATTTATGAACTAGGCCCTTGCGTCTACTTTCCCACGAAACACATAACCAGTCAATCATTGCGTAGGGCATAAATAACATAGCGAATAACCAGATCGAGAACACGATTCTCCATACAAATGCAATCTTCACAGAAGGTATCTTCGCGCGAAGACGTTATCTTTATCCTGTAAACCGCTGGAATCATGCAGTCGATCGCGGTGAATGCAAATCCACGTGCTCCGCGGAAAAGCGAACCGTCAGGTTTCTTCATAAACACTGCGGCTATTACTCGAGTAAATACGGTTTGTTCTGCGACGGCCATTGCGCGGAGAAAAAAAAAATCCAACGCGTGTTTCATACGTAATAAATTTCAAGGAATACGCGGTAAATACAAAAGTAAAAAAAAAAAAAAAAGAAAAATCGTTGCATCGCTTTTTGAGTCGCAGTTAAGGGTACGTGGAGCAAGCGAAAGCTCGCGCCGTAGAAACCAGACAACAGTCCTGGATTAGATCCGCGCACCTGCCCGTTTCGATCTGGATCGGTGAGCTGTATCAGCGTGCGGTCATGTCACACTACAGAGTGATGCACGTTAAAAAGCCCCAGGCTAGCAGTCCTACTCTACTGGCTAAATTGTCCATTTACACCAAAAGCACCACACAGAATTTTAAAGTCCACTATACTTCATTTGACGAGGAGCTCAGTCAAAGACTCGAATATATAGTATAAACGCAAACACGCATACTAAAAGTGCATTCACTGCGCGTACAGAAAAAAAAAAAAAAAGACGCCAAGACGTTACGCTTTTGATGCCGTCTGATTGGCCTCATCGGCTCGTAGTTTCAGTTGCGTTCTTACTTCAGGTGAGACGAAGTATCGACCTTTCCAGCGCTTATCACCCAGGTGCAAAAGGGCTGAGTCACTGATCTGTGGACGCTTGCGCGGCGTGTCATATTTCGTACAAGAGGGCTATACTGCGCATGCTCAGAACGCGTTCCACAGCAAAGTAGACCAAGCTGCCAGAGGGCGCAGGAGGCGATATTTGGAAAAGTCTATACGTCTAGGTCCTGCGCTGCCTAAATTTAGGCAGCGCAGGACCTAGACGTATAGACTTTTCCTAAGAGAAAAAAAAATTCCGGGAACACCTAAGCACTTCTTATAAGTTGTGAATGCGAAAGCATGAATGTCGTTCTTCTGCTCTCTTAGTTCGTCTGTGGCGTAAAGGCGTGGACGGCCGCGTTTCGCTACTGCCGAGGTAGCGGCCGACGGCCGAGCTCGGGCTCTCGTCAAGTGGCCGCGCAGCGCCGAGTTCGGCCGAGCAGCCTCTGCGGAGTCAGCTTGTGCGGGCTCTGCGGCCAGGCCCGCACCTCTTATCGGCGGCCGGGTAGCTGCGTGCGCTGCGCCGCCAAGGAGAGGGCGTCTGTGGCATTCCTTGGAACTACGCCGCGGGGGAGCCAATGGGAGCCTCGTTCCTTGAAACTATGACGCGCGCCAGCCCATGGGAGCCTATCCATCAGATTTCTGCTACAGTCGACAGGCTTCGCTCCATTGGGACAGGCGAAGGTGCCGCTTGGCGCGGCTTCCAAAGCTGATGACGTCGGTTCGCTTCATGGGACAGTTAATGCCTTCGCATTCATAATAGTTCTTTCTGGCACCGGGATGTCTGCGCAATTCTCATCTGTTGACCCTCATCGAGGTACGCCTAAGCTGATCTTGACCCTCCCAAAACAGGTACTTCTAAATGACACGCTGCTTCCACCCATAAAGAAGTCAGCACAGCCAATACCACCTAGAAAACAGGTTCAGCGGCTTTTCCCCCTCAATGGCATCACTAGTGGAACCTCGCAGCGCCGCCCTTAGACGTTTGCAAGCAGCCGCACTTCGAGAGCTAGTCTGGCCACCGTGAATGAAAAACGCATTCTTTGGGGACCAGTTGGAAACCGTGAGTCAGCCTCGGCTATGCTTGATTATCAGACGATCTACCCACACCAGCAGCAAGGTGGCGCCGCCCAGCGCCGTACTTGCAAACTTCTATAGCTTGAGTCAGCATCGCCGCCATGCGCGTTTCGCAGCATCTCCCAACGAGCACGACGTTAGCAGGCGGCGACGCCCACACTCTTGTCGAGTTTCAGCGTATTTGCCGCTTGGGTCACGTCGAGGATCCACAAATCATGACGTCATGCGCGGGACTTGTGTTTTAGATGGCGTTTGATGTAGCTCATCTTTTTGCGGGTCGCACCTCGAAGTCCAGGTGTAGATCCGCCGGACGCACGTCGGGGCCTCGGGATTCGGGTGGAGCAATGTGCATGTCCGGGTGGACCCAGGGTGGTCTCGCCTCGACGGTGGCCCGGGTCACGACCTGCTGCGTCGCTCCAGCATCGGGGGAGGTGTCCTCGTCCTTGGGGCCCTCTGGTTGCGGCAACGGCGGTGGCTCGAGGCGGAATGCCACTAGAGGATTCATCACGGGAATGCCAGCCCAAGGATGACTTTCCGAGCCGTTGTTCCTGTGGTGGCTCCCTGAACAAAACGCACACACGATGTGGAAAAGGGGTGTACTATATGCACTCCACAATAGGATACGCATGCACCTAATATGCTGCTGCCCATATGTACACCCGCCGGCAATAGGAAGGCGAACACCTTACCTGGTTTCTTGCCTGTTTTACGGCTCCCTAAAGCTATATTAACTCTCAACGTCTCAAATGGTACGTGGCCAAGGGTCTAAGCTTTGCGTTCTAGCCCTCTTCTGGAACAGAGCTTGTTCCAAAACTTGCAGGAGCGTCAAAAACGACAAGAGGGCTGTTCACCTTCATATCGTTCGCGGGTGTACACCCACCCTATAGACCAACACGTCGTTTACAAACAAGCCCGCGTTTGCCCACACCAGGTGTGGGCACTGCGCGTGCGCACAAACCGAATTCGGGAGGAGTGAAGCGTCTGCGCACGCGCAGTGCCGTCGACAGCGCCACCGCAGCTGTGTGACGTCAGGGCCGCGTGTTGGTCTATACACTCACAACTCAATTGGTGTCCAGACAAACTCCATTTGAGGGTGCAAAAATATTCCCTTTCCTCTAGCTCTTTGTGCAGAAAAGTCGTGAACGAAGTCATGCCGCAGAAGCAGTTCAGTTCAATCAACAAAAGCTGGTCACTGCATGGTATCAGACTCAAAATAGATCTCAAATAATGCAGTGACTCACTGACATAAAATGCACCCATATAAATAGAGAAGCCAGCAGCAATCCGAGCATACTTAGGTATGGAAAGTGGGAAGAGATGAATACGGCCCTATCTCCGATAAATTCGTCTCAGAGAAGAAGTGGGTATTTAAAATCACATTCCAACAAACTGGAAGGGCACCGGAATGGGGGGAACCTCTCATCCACGAAAAGCTCGGGTTATCAGTTCATAGCGAGCCTGAGCTCAAACACAAAATGAACATAATTAGCTAATCTCTGAGATTAGGAAAATGATATATCGAACGACGCGACACAAAATCTCACCGGACGTATTTTCCGGCCTCCTTCAGCAGTCAATACATAACATGTTCTGACTGCATTTTTTGTTTGCTTTTTGTTACGTAAAATTGAAAATTACGCACCATAAAAACGCCGAAAAGGTTTACCTTTGGAAGAAATGCTGGATACATCGGAGTACGTTTCGGGCGATGCCAGCGGCGCCCACGACATCCAGTTTGGCCGCACCGTGTCCGATTTGATTGGCAGTTCGGAGGCGGAGCTTGTTTCGAAGGAGTCGTCGTTCTTCTCCGAAGCCTCTCGCGACGCAGGCACCAGACGCAGAGCTTTCATCTAAAACGGCAAGGAAGCATTACAAGTGAACACAAGCAGGAATGGCAAGGAATGAAGATGGGAGGTATAAATAAAGTAATAAAATAAAGAATATATACAGTTGACAGGATCTAAGGCTTTGTAGGACCTACGCTAAGCGCTGTTAAGATGCCGATGCTTTACGTCAATGAAGGTTAAGGCACACATATTTCGATACAACAATTCACAATATGACAATTACAAATTTCTCAAAATTTTAAATTGTCATATATTGTTTCCAAAATCCAAAATTCTGGGAAATTAGAATTTAGAATTCCACATTTTTCGATTCACAATTTGAATATTTCAAAAATTCGCAATGTAGTCTTATTTGTTATTTTGATCCAAACCTCCTCGGACACCATACATTGTTTCTTAATTTAGCAAAGTAGTCTTGAACTGCGGTTTCGGATTTAGCAAAGTTTTCACCATACACCGTGAGAGAAAAAACACAAACTGCTAAAGCTTATATACAGGGTTGTCCCCGAAAAAAAATGTGCAGGGTTCTTTCATCGCTAAAATAAGCTAGGCATTGCCGAACTCTCATTCTACGCCCAAATATAGCGCTAGAGGTCACAACCAGATGCCAAAGTTTCAGCCCGATCCGATGCCTTATTCAAAAGTTGTCAGTGATTTTTAGAAAAGTTCAATGGGAAACTGGTGGCCCACGGAGCTCTCAAATACATGAGAAATTGGAAACAGCGCGCAAAAAAGATGAGGACAACGAGAGTAGAGCACAGGACAAGCGCTGACTATCAACTGAAGTTTTATTAAAAACGGCTCAAACAACAGAACAACAACTCGCCTGCATAGCCACCTTAACTCTCAAATACACGGAGCTCTATGGCGCCAGAAACTGAAGCCGCCAAACATGGGCCGCATTTTCGCACTAAAGTTTCAGAAAATCACATAACTTTTGTATAAGATACCGGTTCAGGCTGAAACATTAGTTCGGACCTCTAGCGCTACCTTGGGCGGAGAATGAGCGTTCGCCGCAAAACGTAATTTATTTTCGCAAAAAAAAAAAAAGAATAATTTTTTTTTTGTGGGGGGGAGATTTTGTTCTTTAATACGAACTACTGTATTACAGCCCTCAGTACAAGCGAAAAAAAATGAATAAGAAGCTGCACTTGTCACAGTGTAACTTTTAACCTCCGGTGATACGAACAGAGAGCGCGTATGCAAAAGGATACATAACAAAGCGTACGAAACGCCGTTAAGTCACTGAAGATGCTGCCGAGATGACGAAGGGACAATGCTAAAAGGTGCACTCTTCGCTCACGTTTATATTGGTGGAAAGGGGGGCACAGTAAACCGATGAGCAATGATGAACAGCAAAGCAGTGGCGAAAAACCATCGTTTAGCCATCGAGACGTGGCGCGTATGGGGGAAAAACAAAATGAAAGTCGTTTATAATTAACTGTAACACCGAATTAGAGCGCACCACTTGAGGAGGAGGAGGGAAAGGAACGGAGAGGAGGCTATGCCCCTCCTCCTCATCTGTACCCTCCTCTCCTGCACCCCTCCCATTTCGCGGGAAATTTTCGTGAAATTTCCCGCGAAATTTAGCGGGAAAAATTCCCCGCTAAATTTAGCGGAAAATTGGTTCTGCTAAGTTTAGCGCGGAATTTTTCCCCCTAAATATAGCGGGGAAATTTTTCCGCTAACTTTAGCGGGGAATGTTTTTGTAGACTCGCGTCCAAAGCCCCACCCTCCCTCCTCCCCCTTGTAAACCAGGTGATGTGACGTCCATGAAAACGTGCCAATCAGAACGCCGGCATTGTCACTTCAAAAGCTTTTTCTCCGAATGCGTAGACGGGAGAGCAGACGTGCTTCGGACAGGCGGCCCTCACCTGATAGGCGAGGTCCGTGGAAGACTGGTCCCACTGCTGCCTCTCCATCTCGGACGGCGGCAAGAAGTCGGTGAAGGAGGTCTCGAGCACTACGCCGTGCGGGGGCGAACACCGGCTCGGCGGGGTGTCCGTGAGGAGGGCGTCGCGCGAGCCCTGGTCGTGCTGCGTGACCCCCGGCTGGGGCTTGGCCGCCTTCCGCGTGGGCTTCGTGGGGCCCGTGTTCACCAGCAGCTGGGGGGAGCGCGGAAGGCGCCTTTAAGCCTTGCCGAAAGCCTGGTGGGATTCGCTTGATCTGCGCTCTCGAGATCCATAGATGCGCACTAAACAGTTTCTATCCTTACGGCCATTTATGGTCATAACTATATCTACGAGCACGAAACACTAGAAACAAAATATAATAGATTGACTTTGCGTCCGATTATACCTCAAAGAGCTTGAAACGCCCGCGTTTCCGCGATTCGGCGGAGAAACGTGAGGGCGCCAAAAGACGCAGCCAATCGCTTATTTGTCGTTTTTATATTTGATTTTAGCCAATTAAAAACAAACGGGGATATTAAAGACATAAAAGCTATCTCGGTTCGCAATTTGTCTGCCAGCGTTTCTATAAGCTCTAGCTGTCTGAAAGGCATTTCAGTTATTCACTTTGCAATGCGAACAAGTTCACACAAAAAGAAAAGATGAAAGAGGGACTTTGCCCTGCAAAGACTGATCACGGAACCCATTGACACACAAGCTAAACCACTCACAGTCTGAACACACCAGTGAAGCAGAAAATGTCGACACCAGAAACCACATCGGCTGCGTATTTTCTCTGCGTGTCGTCTTCTTGAAACGTGGAAACGCCGTCCTATGCTTCTTGCGACGCCGGTAAAAAATAGAAAAAAAAATAGCGTGTGTGCTACATGGTACACGGATCATTAGGAAGTTTTCGTAGATCGTTTTCGGCGTCCCGCAAGGCCCTCCGCAACCCGCTACAATAGCGGGAACTCCACAGTCGAGGCTATCGGCGCGCAGGCGCAGTAGCAACTTCCTCGTTGCGGAACGCTTAGCGGAGGGGGCAGTGTGGTCTACGAAAACTCCCTATTGTCTTTGCCGTCCTATGCGCCACCTTTCCGCGCAGTTTCACTCCTCTTGTCACATGATCCACCGCCGCGCTGCTAATGGCCTGCGGGGATGCCGCCGCTCTGCCGCAGCTGGTCTCATTGGCTAAGGATGATCAAGGCAAGCTCGATGATTGGTGTTCAGTGTACATCGCGGTGCAACTTAGAAGTAGGGGCACCTGAGAGTGTATACTGATAGCTAATGACAGCCTAAGGCTTATGCTCACGTTTCTTGCCTCCTGATTGGTTCTTCAGAGTTCTTATCGGTCAATGCTGCAATCTCATTGGCCGCTGAGCAACAGTGAGATGCTTACGGCTCGCAAGTTTGTCTGATTTTCTCGCAGGGGTTGCGGTGACGTCAAGAGACCGAGCTCTGATTGGCTCCGATTGAAAGGATGGTTGGTAGGCCTCGATGCAGCTAACAGTGAGGTCTACCCTCTATCTTTCCGTCGAAGCCAAGTAGAGTTCGGTGTTCTGACGTCACTGCAACCGCGAGAAGCAGACGAACTCGCACTCCGCGTAATGAGGCACAAAGCAGGAGGACCCCCGACCTTTTCGAGAGCGTAGAGGAGCTTGTCCGGCATGTGGTCCTGGATCATGACGGGCGAGATGAGCACCTGGTCGAAGTCCTTGTTGTCCGCCCAGAGCGCTTGGAAGACCGGCTCGTTTTTGCCCATCATGCGCCTAGGGAACCGCCACGGCAGAAGGAACACATTTCGATGGCCGTTCTCGCTTTTACATTTTTCGTAGCCCGTAAGGCACTCGGGACAAGGTCTAGTTGAGCTACAACTTGGAGCTGACATGATATGGGCAAGAACTGCATTCGCGAGATCGTACAGCTGAAGTCACGCTACTAATCTACAGGGTGAAACAAGGAGACGCCAGGCTCTTTAAATCGACCGGAAAATTCGGTTTCTCAACCTATCGCGCTACGACTTTGTGCAGCGTTGCCCACAAATGGTGCATTTCTTTTTTGTAAAATTTGCAAAGAACGAACTTACCTGAGGAAAAAGTAAAGAAAGAAAAAGGCTTAGCTCCTATTTAAATGCAGCGACGCCACCGGTCTGCAAACAACACGGTGCCGTTTCGCACGGGAGACAAGAGATGGCGCAACAAACGCCGCCAACGAACGAGCATACGGCGCCGAGAGCAGGCCTTTTTAGCAGACGATCTTTTCGACTCAAAAGCGGCGCGCGTTCCGCAGGCGCAATATAAAAAAGACAGGCGCGGTAACAGCAAGGAACTGCAGTTCCTTGACTGCTAAATACGCCGGCTCTCGGCGTCGTCTGCTCGTTCGTTGGCGGCAGTTGGCGTTGCGACCGCTTGCGCCATCTCTTGTCTCCCGTGCGAAACGGAAGCCGTGTTGTTTGCAGACCGGTGGCGTCGCTGCGCTTCCATAGGAGCTAAGCCTTTTTCTTTCTCTACTTTTTACTCACGTAAGTTCGCTCTTTGCAAATTTTACAAAAAAAAAATGCACCATCTGTGGGCAACGCTGCACAAAGTCGTAGCGCGATAGGTTAAGAAACCGAATTTTTCGGTCGATTTAAAGAGCCTGCCGTCTCCTTGTTTCACCCTGTATAATGCAGTCTGCAGACATTAGGCGGGTTTCTTTCTTTTATGACGGCCCTGTGAGATTGGTCACATCAAAACTGTCGGCAGACGTGTTCGAAGCATACATAGAGATATGTTTCCAACAGGGTTGAGGCGTGTCCGAAGATAATGTCTGTGACTTGGGCTTATGGTTGCGGAATGTCTCTTGTCTGTAGTCGCCAATTCAAGTAAAGAGTTATGGATTTTGGGACTGTACGTTGGGGGTGAGCACAAGTAAAGCGAATAATGGACTCTTTTCAAAACCTCGTCAGGCAACATTGGTGGTCGCCATTTCTTGGGCACGAAGCGTGTGATTGGATCCGAGTCCTCGCCGAACGCTGACGCAACCCTCGTGTCCAACACGAGCTTAGAGGACGTGCCCAAACAATGGCAACCTCGGGTAATGGGCGCAGCATCTAACAGATGGCGCGGACGTTTGAAAAGGGTCTATTGAGCTTGGGAAAGAACTCGAGCTAAGAATGCGGCACGTGGGATGCGGAACAAAGTGATTCACTCATTTTGCTGTGATTAACCTACGAGGGACATTATGTTAACTCAAGCGTTAAGCGATTGCCTTTCGTGCATTAGGAAAAGCGTATTCGTTAATATCAGAGCCATGCTTACGAAAACCCCAGGCAGAAACATCACTGCGGCGAAGCAACCTGCCTATAGCTTAAAGGGGCACTGACAGGTCAAAATCATATATCTTTTTATTTATTATCCGAAACGATTTAAAACGATGCCTGGATATTACCTTCAAAATTGGAAACTTGAGAACTCGGTATTTGTGAAGTAAAACAAACAAACAAAAACAAAACGCTGAATTTGAAGTTGCCGCGCGATTTGCGCCAGCGCAGTGACGTCAAATATTGAGTCGTCCTGCAACTCGAGTTCCTCACGCCTCCGGACCGCCCCGATCCGAAGTGTCGTGTTCGCCCGCGTCCCGCGATCAGCCTCTTTCCTCCGTGTGTGCCGCCTATCTCTGTGAGCAGACGACGCTTCACTTTCGAGTTTGAAGTTCTTTTACGGCCCTTTGAGCGATCTCAGATTCTTTGGAACGGTGTGAAGTCGAAGAGAACGCGGAGTGGGCTTTTCTCAGCGACGTGAGGGGCCACGTCACGCCGGTTCTGCGTGGAAGGCTGCGCCGGTGGAGCCAGAACCGAAACTACGATACATAGACACCAAACCCAGCGGTTCTGACCATTTGACGATTTCCTTTTCGAAGTCTGAGATGTCGTCGGGCCCCTAAAAAAGAGAACTTCGTCCGATTCCCCGACTCACCGATTATCCTCAGTCCTACATCGGTCGAGCGTCGCGGCGCGCCATGTTTTCCGAGGGTGGATGAAAAAAACACAACGCGACACCACTCCAAACTCCAAATTTCGGTATTAAAAAAAAAAGGCCGTAGTGTTTTTCTATTTGCGTTAAAAAAACGTGTTTTTCGAATGCCGTTATTAAATATTATTTAAAAATTGCCACTTACAAAGGTTCTACATTTCGTAATCGATTAAATCACAAATAAATTGAAGCGAAGAGGTGAAAAGGGCGAGAGAGAAACGCCAAAAATAAAAAGACCCGCGCGAGCGCGAGGGTAAATTTTTTTAGCGTTGTGGCACTTTTTGCGTGTCTGTGATTATCCATCGTTTTAAACAACAACAACGAAAAAAAGACGACTTTCGGAGTGTCAGCGCCCCTTTAAGGGAAGTAAAAACACTAACAAGTGAAGGGCTAACTTTCAGGGCGCCGAAAATACACAAGGACAAGAAACAAGAAAGGAGACGAACACAAGGCACCTTGCGTTCGTCTCCTTTCTTGTTTCTTGTCCTTGTGTATTTTCGGCGCCCTGAACGTTATCATGAACCAACTAGCCCAAATTGCCATTCTAATGAAGTGAAGGGCCACTGCATTTTCTGGAATTTTCCCGCTTAATTCTCGCACGTAGGTCCAGCACCTTAATTAAGCGGACGAAAGCTAAAGCGGGCATTTCTATAGAATTTCTATAGAACTTACCTCCACCTGGTCTCATACTTTTGGCTGCGTTCAAGAAAAGCGAGAAGAAAAAAAAAGAGCAATGTGGAGCAAGTTCGCGCAAGCCATACGTCGCGATTCAAGTCGTCAGTTTCTACCACGCGGCATATCCAACTATAGAAAAGCAATGTTGTACCAGTGTTCTTGAATATGCTACTAGTCACGCAACCTCTCCGTAACGCTATGGGAGTGCTTGGCACGCGACCACGCGTGGCACTAACGTCCACAAGGGGGCTAAGAACCGCCAAGTGGGGTCGTAATTTTGAACCCACTCCAAATGAGCCACCAACAGATGGCGGTGACGCGTCATTACACTGGCAGCGTTTCTAGTTTTAGTGTCTTCAGCGCTCAGTCAACTGTTCAAACTTCGCATACACAATGGACTCTGACCCCATTTCCTACAACGCTAACAAGAACAATCTTTTCCACAACATTCTCCAAGATTATGTCACTCTCCATTCCTTCTTCCTGCCTCCAAAAGGAATTCTCAATACCGATATCACCGTTAAAATACAGCGCCGCGAGTATACACCATCGAGTAGAGGCGCCACGAATCCGCGGGCATTCTACTTGCTTGCAAACCATAGTTCGGTATAAAAACGAATGGAACAAAAGCAATTATTTGAAAGTTCTTCTATTAGAGATCAATAGGGAATAATCGGTGCTTGCATACAGTGATCAATCACAGACGTAACCAAATGTAGGCGTGCGAATTTTTTTTTTTTTTAATGGCAGCGATTTATACATTTAGAAATTTATGCATAAAATGAATTTTATTGAATTTGGAAGGGAATTGGTGTGGCAGGTAACGCATATTTTCCCGCTGTATGTAGCGGGGAAACAAAACGGTCGAATAAGGCTCGTGGCGTCGATTTGCCCCGTTAAATTTAGCGGAGAAACTGGATTTGTACTTAGGTCACAAGACGTCTAAATTTAATTGGTGTTCATCTCCCGCTAAACTTAGCAGGGAAACTGAATCGGTCCGTCTGTCCCGCGACTTCAGGTCACGTGACATCAATTTCCCGCTAAATTCAGCCGAACACCTGAATTCGCGTATATGCCTCGTGATATCAATTTTCCCCACTATATTTAGCGGAAAATGCACGGACGGACAAAATTTTGGGGGCTGGGACTTGACATCTCGAATGTCTCTAAACAAAAACGTCCCCCTCCGGAAGAGTATAGCGCCCCTGGCGGCAGCCGTTTTCCCCATACCAAACATGGGCCGAAGTTTTCGGTGACCAGCGGCGATATCGAACGACTCCGGTTGTACCTTCAATCGCCGCGCTTCGTTTCACTTTAAGAAAGACCGCAGCCGACGCTACGATGCCATGATGCCGGTCAAGCAGCACCAAAGACATCACGGCGCTCGTCGTTTTTCAGCGCACGTGAGCCCCATCGGATCGTTGACCGCGGCTTGCTCTGTGATTGGTTATTCGGCGCTCTTATCGGATAATGCTGCGACCCCATTGGCTGAGGAGCGGTAATGAGATCCTCCCGACTCGTGTCGTCCCGCGTTCCTTATCTTGCCGGTGATTGTAGAGAGTCTCGGTTATTGACGATTTGCGCGACCGAAAGCGCGGCTGCGGTCGACATTCCGAGATTGGCACAACGCTCACTACGACTTTTCCAGTGGAACCAGCTGAATATGGATAAGAAAGAGATAAGAAAGAAAGGAAGAAAGGAGATAAAGAAATAGAGTAAGAAAGAAAGAGATAAGCACACAATGAAAAATTTCTATCTCCTTCTATCCTTCCTATGTTCAGCTGGTTACACCGGAATGAATAACGAACAAGCTCAGCTCCTCCTCCTTGTAAGCTCACAATGACGTCTCGAGTATGATACATTCTACCCACGTTTATTGTGTGGAGATCAGAGGAACGTAAACCTGACAACTTTGACGGTTAAGCACGCGATGACTCCTAGCTTCCACCGAGCTTTTTACAGGCGCTGTCGTGTTGCACGTTTTGTATACTCCCAGTCCCAGGCGACTAGGGAGAAGGAAGTTACGTCGGTGTAAATGAACGTATCTTAGCAGCACCACGCAACGCGTCATCAGCGACTCCATCAATCACTGATCTAAAGAGCGTTGTTGACGTCACTTCCTTCTCCCTAGTCTCCTGGGAGTCCAAAACGTGCAACATAGCCCCCCAGGTCGTAACGTCGCAGATAGGAACCATGAGAGGCAGGAGCCACCGAAACAACTCGTCGCCAATGAAGATTAGGTTCGATAAAATCTGTTTCAGTGTCGTTCGGTGCGGTTTCGGAGATTAGAGAACGATTACACATGTCCGATCAACTCACTCCTTGGGGTGATTTCGCACGATGTGGATGATCCTTCCCGGTGGGTAGAGGGGCTGGTGGGCCGTCAGGGCTATCGTGGAATCACTGGGATGTGACGTCACGTCCCGTGACGCTGACGTCAGGTCTTCCATTCGGTCGAAATTGACCTCATCCGGGCAACAGCAGAAGACGCCTCCAAGAATGATTTTCCACTGAAAGCAAATCGAAGGACGAAACAAATCAGTTCGATCATGAAAGCCAGCGGAACCGGTCTCATTCAAGAAGCAGACAGACAAAAGTAAGCTGTATGATTGTTAAGGCATATTTGAGATTGAATAATGAGTGCATATCACCTTCGTGTTTGATATTCGATTAATGTGAGGACGTATAAAGATCGCATGTGTCTATTTTACGCGGCTCGCACTGACGACACATAGCGTACTTTTGAACACCTTGTAAGAGGAGGAGAGGGAAGCTGTTTTTGTAAGAATTTTGAGTGACGGGTTTATCTTCTATAATCTTTTGGGAGGAGAACAGCGACGTCTGGGCAAATCCGGGAGGCACAAAAGAGGATCCTGCTAAGAGGGAAGCTCCTTCTTCGCCTCTTCTCTGGAGGGCATCGGAGCGCTCTCTGAAGGGAGTGGAGAGTAGTTTACCTCACATTTAGGTGTGAAAATATTTGTTTTAACATATCGACATGTGCTCGCGACTGCGTGCACACCCACATTCTCGAAAATAAATATATCGTTCTTAAAAAAGAAAAAAAAAATTCACAACTAAAGCATGATGTCTTAAACACACACACACAATTAAAACAAGGAAACATCACGCCAACAAAACAAGTCACGGAGGAAAAAAAAAAACGAGACCAGCAATAAATCACGGAGAGAAAAAAACAAAAAAAAAACAAAAACGAGAAGATTAATACTACACGAATCGCTCATCCCCGATACCTGGAACGGCGCGTCAATTAGAAAATGCGAAAAATCACCGATTTTTTCAGCAAACAAAATAAAACTCAGTTTCATTCTGACCCTAGAAACCACCAGCAATACGTCAAATTCTCAACTATCATAAATTCTTTTTCCAGTTGGCGACGTTTCAGAGGATAAAGAGTTCCCAACGAGATGCTGCTAGAGGGTGTGCAATTTGTCGCACACCCTGTAGCACCATCTGTATATGCCGAGGACATCTACATTGTACATTTATATATGCCAAGGAGGTGCATACTTGGAGGGGTGCACAACCATACTGTTGACTGGGAGGTGCAAGGTGCCGCTCGATCATTACCACCATTACCATCATGCCATCATCCATCAAGCAAACAACGTTCGCCAAACATCTTGAACGCCCGAAATTTAGGAACAAAAAAAAAAAGTGGACAACACACAAAGATGCTTACTTTTTTATTTTGTTCCCAAAGCTCGTGTGTTCAAGATGTTGCAAGTTCGCCGGCTCGCCCCCTTGGTAACTGTGATAACTAACGTTCGTTGTTTGTTCGCCTAGCTCTGGAGTCCGACCCTTGACGCTACGGCGTCATGTAACAGCCTAGCGGCTTCGGTGTCGACAGCTGGGGGCACTATGTGCACACACGTCCAGCGAGCAAGCGAACAAGCTGTGGCCGCGGGGTTGTCTCAGACCGAGGCGCACGCCCCGAGTTAGAACAGCGGGAGCCCGAACCTTGGGGTCTTCGCTCCTTTTTATAGCGTTGATGAGATCCGTTCGGAGCGCCTCCATCTGGTGCAGCCCTATTCTGGGAACCACGTCCTTGCCGAGTACCACAGACGTGATGAAGGTCTTGCTGTACTCCACGGCTGGAAGACTGGGACGTGCGAGAAAACACGAGGCAACAGGAGGCAACTTGTTGGAGAAGGGAGCACACTAGAAGTTTGCTTTGATTGCCTGGACTCCAAAAAAGTACTGTCCCAAAAATAACATAGTTTTTATTAATTTTTATTTTTTTTAAGTGCAAAATTGCATTACGCTTTGCCGAACTCTCAATCTCAGCCCAATCGTGTAGCTACCGGTTCCAACAAGCTGCCGAAGCTTCGGAACAAACCGTTATCTTGGGCAAAGGACATACCGTACTTACACGATTGTAAGTCGACCCACTTTAAAATATCTGAAAATTTGAACTAAGCGAGAGGGAGGCGGGAACTTGACTTATAATTGTAACCAAAGCATCCCACCGCCGACAAGGACGAAACAATCGCGATATCAAGAACACCTCGGCTTGTTATGATTTCAGCCAGCTGTAGCTGTAGTATATCATTCTTTGTGCTCGTACTACCACTTCTATAATTCTTTTAGCTTTCTTATCATTTTGCCGCCTCGGTGGCTCCGAGGCGAGAGCGCCGGCCTACGCGTCCCCGTAGGCCGGCAACTTCAGAAAAAAAAATTCTGAAGTTGCAAAAAAGTGTGTTTTGACGCATAAACAGCCGTTTATTTCACCCTGATGTGGTTCAAGTAAAAATACAAAATATGGCGGGTTTGGAAGAACAATCGATAATCTTTTGATTCTGAAATTTTAATCGAAGTAATTTTTGTTTAAAGCAAAAAAAAAAAAAACAATTTTTGAAGTTGAACTTTTGCACCACAACCCGGCGTCGCTTCTTAACGCCTCTTCGCCGCACAGCACGCCACCTGCGACGATAGCTGACACGATTAGGTCCAAAGAAAGAAGGAAGTTTTCTGCCGCTTCCCCTTGTCCGTCTTTCCGGCTGCAAGGGAAGAAACGGCGGGTATCGTGTAATAATCGGAGGTGCCGCCAGCACGTAGCAATAGTGGGCCCGTTGTGCCCTTTGTACCCGAGGGCGGCTCGAAACGCGATGCCTAATACGGGCGGCATCAGTTGACGTGGACTTCTCCTAAAAGGGAAACGCGATAATATCGCCGCGACATCTAGCTGTCATGCATGCTGCGGTGAAAATCGGAACTATTCAGCGACGCAAGAATTAGCCGTTTCAAAGCCGATTTAAACACAAACGAGGCGTGAGCCTCCTAACTGCGCGCATTCGTTAACCCCACATCGCCTCGTCGTACGAGACTGCCCGTTCACGAGGCTGTTGTGTTGCTGTTAGCATCTGTCCTGACGTTGACAAGAGAGAGTGATTGTGATGTGTACGTAAGAATCGGCTAACTTACTAGAGCAGGGGTGGCCAGGCTGGCCTGGCCTAAGAGCCGCAAACAAAACCACGGAACTTCCAAGAGCCGCGGGGGGGGGGGGGTGCAAACTTGACTTTTGTTTAGAGTCTGACTGTACGTATGGGGGCACAAGGATGTACGACTGTGCGTATGGGAGTAGAAGGCTGCCAAACTGCAAGGTGCAGTGTGCTTTATTCTAAAACCTTTTCTTCTTTTTTTTTCCGGGTGAAACGCGGAAAGGGGCGAAAGGGGGGGTGTCCCCTTACGAGGGATCCGCGAGCCGCACTTGGACCAGCAAAGAGTCGCATGCGGCTCGCGAGCCGCGGTTTGGCCACCCCTGTACTAGAGGATACTCTCACCCGGCAGCGCTAAGCATTTGCTGATATCAAGACAGCGGAAGTCCACAGGAGGACACAGCCGCGCAAAACGGTCAAAATAGGAAAAGCCATAAAGCAACAAGAGTAGGAAAAAGCCTCTTCCCACCAAGATGTACCCAAGAACTCGAGGTCCTGCTTTCAACCTGCGTGCGCACACCGTGACACCGTCGCACGCTTTGCCGGGCTCGACGGTGGCGTGCGGTGCAGAGAAGCGGCGCAAGGAACGACGCCAGTTTGCGGGGCGAAAGTTCGAAATGTTTTTTTTTTTTTTCCTCCTTAGAACAAAATTACTCTAATTAAACTTTCAAGAACAAAAGGAAATAAACTCTTTTGTAGAAGTCACCATGTTACGTATTTTTCTTTGGGTCACCTCAAGGCAGAATTGACGGCTCTTTAAAAGGAAAAACGCAATTTTGCACAAACTTAGTTTTTTTTTTTTTTTCTGCAAGATATTTAGTTGTACGGCGTCAAACCTTTTTGTGTAGAGCAGTGGTTCTCAAATAGGGGTCCGCGGACCCTCGGGGTCCGCAAAGGTAATCTAGGGGTCCACGAAGTTAGTCAACCGGGCAATAAAAATTGTCTTTTTTTCAGGTCGAAAAGAAATGTTTTAGATTTCGGGCGAGTTTTCTCGTGTGTATAGGTCAAAAGGAGAGGTCCACTTCACACTAGCCCTTAGTTATATCAATTTATAAAATTATTATAATATTTAACCTATACCTTTTCCCTCCCCTCACCACGAATGGGGTCCTCCATCATATCCGCCGATCCACAAGGTGTCTGTGAAACATCGATGATTGAGAACCACTGGTGTAGAGTATACCTACAGGGCTATCGATGAGAGTATTTACAGTCGCATGCAGCAAAGCCATAGTTTGTAATAAAACAAAAAATATACGAAAGGACTCATATATTCCTTTTTTTTAACTGCTTCAAGCCTACCAAATTCCATGACCATGATCCTTATTACATAGCAATCCAAATACCGTAGGGTTTTTAGGCAAAAAAAATCCAGTGTTCCGTAAAAAAATCTTACTTTTCATCAATTATTGAATGACTCGTAGTTCTACCCACCTTTTACTATAGTTCAAACCGACATCACCCCATGAAATTTCTTTTTCGTGAAGAAGTATGTTAGAGAGGCGTTTTAAAGGTTACAGTGAAGAGCCATCAATTTTATTTTAGGAATCGGAGGTGGGCGTGGGACCTTTGGCATGGCATGGAGAAGTCCTGGTCACTTAATGCCGCCCGTCGTTTAGGCATCGCGTTTCGAGCCGCCCTCGGGTACAAGGGGCACAACGGGCCTGCTATTGCTACGCGCTGGCGGCACCTCCGATTATTACACGATACCCGCCGTTTCTTCCCTTGCAGCCGGAAAGACAGACAAGGGGAAGCGGCAGAAAACTTCCTTCTTTCTTTGGACCTAATCGTGTCAGCTATCGTCGCAGGTGGCATGCTGTGCGGCGAAGAGGCGTTAAGAAGCGACGCCGGGTTGTGGTGCGAAAGTTCAACTTCAAAAATTGTTTTTTTTTTTTTTTGCTTTAAAAAAAAATTATTTCGATTAAAATTTCAGGATCAAAAGATTATCGATTGTTCTTCCAAACCCACCATATTTTGTATTTTTACTTGAAACACCTCAGGAAGAAATAAACGACTGTTTATGCGTCAAAACACACTTTTTTGCAACTTTAGGATTTTTGTTTACCGCAAGATATTTTTTGAGCGGTTTTAAACATTTTTTTTATAGATTATATACCTGCAAGGGCAGTCGGTAGAAAGTTCTATTAAGTCCCAGGAGCAATTAAATATTTTTAATAAAATCACAAAAATCCTAAAATTTGCGAACTTTTTTAGTCTTTTAAGAAATGTTTAAATTAAACAAAACTTCACAAGCCCAACCATATTGTAAGTCAAAAGCCGTGCAAATTTAAGAAAAAATATTGTTGGGTGTTTCACTAAAAAGTTCATTTTTCATCAATTATTGAGTGATGCCTAATTTCACGCTGTTTTTAAAAGATAAAACCGCGAACACGTCATCAAAAAACTTTTTCCGCCAAAAATATTTTAGGACATGGCTACGGACATTACAACAAAAAACTAATTTTTTTTTTTTTTTTTTGACATTGGAAGCGATTGCACGATGCACGGTCGCACGTGACGTTTGACATGGAATGACCCGGTAGCGTTTTTGGAAGGTCAGTCTTGAAAAGCTACCAGTCAATCTTTCTAAAGGTCGGATTCGTGCTTCAGTTTGAAGGAGGGGGAGAAGGGGAGAGGAAATAAAGGTTAATTTCTGTGTATCTTTTAAAGGGCCCATGAAACGATTTTTGAGTTGGGATAAATCATTTTAGATTGGGATTTTACTAATAGCACATCGTTCAGTGGGCCAAAAGAAAAAAGGTAGAAAGTCAAAAGCCCGACTTTCAGTGCGAAAATTTGAAAACACAGCGGACTATTTCGTACCCCCTCCCCTTCAAAACCTCTCTGCCTTTTCACTGTGATACATCCGCGGTCCCAAAAGCGCGTCATCCGGTCCAAACTGACGTCACACGAAACCGGACCTCATTTAGTCCCTTCACCCCTAAGCTGACATTGTGGTAGAAGCTACGCGCTTGCCGGACCAATCAGCCGCCTCCGTTTCATCACCTGACCTCATTCTCTGCAGCCACATTTGCCACGCTCACGTGGCAAAACTGTGGCTAGCCCAAGGAGCACGTAGCTTCCACAGCACTGTCAGCTTAGGGGTGAACGGGGTAGGGAAAGAAACTTTTGTCCGAGTTTTGAGCGACGGGCTAATCTTCTAGGGGGACAATGGCTCTCTCCGAGCGAGGGGGGCCTCGCTTCTTTTCGTCTTCTTGAACTGTTTGGTGGAATGCGCGATTTATGAGTTGAGGAGGAAAGCGAAACAGGAAAAAGTTGGAAAAGCGTTTCATGACCCCTTTAAGTGACCCATGTTCGAGCTACACACCGTTCGATGTCTGGTAACCTGCTTTTGTTGTAGCTGTAGGTCTCTTTCTGGAAATTCAGTGATGACCGTAGTCGTCCTTAGATTTCTGGGCGCATGAGTATTCGTGGACGCAAAGAAAGTAGCGGAGTTTGAGAGCTTCGTCTTTGTGTGTCTTTTGCTATGACTAAAAGTTTTTTTTTTTTTTTTTTTGTGCCGCAGGTTTGGAGATTGAAAACACAATCAATGTTTACCAGCTCGCCTGTACGCGACTGCTACCAAGCGAGGACTCCACAAAATAAAACAATTCACAAAATCCTGCTTTTCGTAAAGTTGTTTTGTACCTTCTAGAGTTTCCACCGTAGAACTAAAATAAAAAAATAACTCGCTGGACAAAAAAAAAAAAAAAAGAAGGTAGCCGTTCCTTTTTTCATTAGTAAAAACGTAGAGTTCTTGTTCCAGTTCTACCGATGCAAGATTGAACGGTGGCGTTCCTCTTAAAAGAAACGCGTTCCAGGAACGAAGTTCCGTACAACACTGCGCGCAATACACCGCGCCGTGCGGCGGCGCGCCCGGGTACCGGGGGTGGCGGCACTCGATGTAAGAGCCACGCCAGAAAGGCCGGAACAGCTTCTGGAACAGCCTCTCGCCCCGCTGCTTGTTTTCGCACGAAGCACGGTCGCACCAACGAGGTTGGGTCGCACGTTGTTTGATCGAGCGCCTAAGATCGTGCGACCGTACTGGAAACTGGAGTCCCAACTATGTTTCTCTGTACTGACACGCCTGGTTCGGACCCTTTAGGTTTTCGATACTCGTTACGGCCCTTCTTCATCCGAAAGCAACCAGCAACTGCATGCGCTGCTGGGCGCAAGTTCAACCTGTCGGAGAGAGTGGTGCGCTAGTGGCGTCTGCAACGGCACAGGACTTTTTAGCTGTGACGGCAATCGAAGAGGCTTCCGCGGGCCAAGATTTGGATCCGTCTGGACGCGTTCCGAAGTTAGAAGTCGAGCACGCAACGTACGTCGAAGAAGTGCACGATCAATCCCCTACCTACGACATGCGACGCGATCGCCGAGCAAGCCCGGAAGCTGCGGTTGAAGCGGTCGTTCGCGAAGTGCGAGATTTCGTTGGGCGACGTCGACTACGTGTTTTCGGAACGTACCAGTGATGACGACGGGAACGAGTACCCCTGGACGGACGAAAGACAGAGTGAGAACCACAGGGAGGAACTCTAGTTGTTTCGCCCCCAGAGCGAGCTTCCCGACTTGGATAACTCTTGGGCATCTCGAGCGCGTCGCGCGTGCACGTGCAGCTAAAGCAGGGCAGAAAGCGTCGAGTGTTCGTTGGTCGCCAGGCGTCCGAAAGAGGTGCCCTACCGTTCTCCATCTTGGCCTTACGCATGAGCCCCTAAAGTAGAATTAGTTTTTTTCTCGTTTTGCTCACATGCAATGTGTGTGTGTGTGTGTCGGGGGGGGGGGGGGGGGGGGGTTGTCGACCTATAAGTGTGTAAAAATGCGGTAAGTGATTTTCTAAAATTTTCAATTGGAAAATGGCGACCGGCGGAGGAGCCCTCGGCTACATGACGGAGCTGAACGGCGCCAATTACCAAAAGCAGCCCCGTTTTCCCATTTATATATAAAGACAATCAGTTATAACTTTTGAAGTATATAACGGTTAGCTCTGAAACTGTGACATCTGGTTCGAACAGCTAGCGCTTCATTTGGGCAGTGAATGCGCGTTTGGCGATGTGTATCGTATTTTTGGCGGAAAAAAAACAACTAAATAGTATTTGATTTTAAGGAAAAAAAAGGGGGGGGGGGGGGGCGGGGGGGGGGGGGGGCACGCAGTACATAAAGAAAGACGTCGGAGAATGACGAAACCGGAGAAGCGTTTCGACCAAGCATGAAGACAGCCACGTCACGCTCAGCGCGACGAGGACACGCGACACGTCATGTTTAGGGTTACCGTCGCAGACGTCGTGTTTTTTTATCTCTACAATTCTCGTCTCGTCCTCCGCGAAGCCTCTAGCGTAGGTCGCAGTGGCTGACTCTCTGAAAACACCGCGAAACAGTAAACGCATGGATAGATTTTTTTTAGCTGCATTTCTACGCAGGTTTTAGGAGTGATTTGAGACGACTACCGTATAGGCCCGTAGCTCTCAAGTTTTGAGCAGCGCTCCAGGCGAGCAAAATAGAATATTTGGCTCGCGTGTCGAACGTGCGTCATCACGCTTCCCCACTACAGTTTTTTTTATACTCCGTTCCATTCGAAGTGTCAGCGTAGCAGAGGCTACAAGAGCCAGCTCCGAACCTGCAGTGTCCCTTTCGAGCACGCGCGCTCGTGCAGTGCGAGCATCGTTCGGGGGAACATGTTTTTTAAAGCAGCTTTACCTTCGCTATCATGTAAAGTGAAACATACGTGCTCACGGAAACTATGAAAGAAGGCAATAAAATAATAAAGCTGGACGGGACGCTGAGGCCGCAAGCTGCATAATTCTTTTTTTTTTTTTAATTTTAGCTCTTTTTTAGACGTTTTGTTATCGCGTGTCTAGAGATGCTGACAGATGCTTGCATTCGAACGTGACACGTGCAAAATATAACGTTACAGCGCCGCCTGGATAGTGCTGCCAGCATAACATGATCGCGTCTTGCGAACGCGCTCGCGCTTCCTGCCCGAGAGCAACGGGTCTATTGTTCCGAATGAACGCCCACCAAAGACAAGGAGACGAAAGGTAAAAGAACGAAAAGGAAAATAAAATAATAGGGAATAAAGTTAGACAAGCTTGATCATAATGGAAAAAAAAAAAGCAGGAAGCAGAGAATGTCCCGCATAAACCAGACATACTTAATTTTTATTTTCGCGTGTAATGCTCGTTCATGGCGCTGGTTCGTGACGGTTTTATCATAGAAAACGACCCATAAAACACATTTTGCATTAAAAATATGAGGTGGGCGACCTTTCGGAGGAGGGGGTTATTCGGGATTTTATGGTAGGTTTGTAACGGATGAAAAGAGGAAAGACGGAAGCCACCTGAGAAGGCCGCCCGGGGGAGCGTAAGCGTAACAAAGGAGGTTCGGAAAGTCCTGCTTCAGCAGGATCGCCAAGATGGCCGCCGCTCCAGCGCCGAGCGAATGACCAACCAGCACTAAATCGTACTGAGTGGTTCCTTTGTCCTGAAAGGTAAAACGAATAAAAATAAAAATGGCGGTTGGGTTAGCACACAGTGTTTTCCATATTGTTAAAAAGTAAATTTTCTTGCTCGACTACCATTCCAGATGCGAAAGCGCTCTCGAGCGTTGTCGAGAAAATTTTGTTTCAAGGCAGTCACTAAGATATGTGCTATGCATTTAACATGTGACAAGCAGGAATCGTTTGCTAATCTACAATTTTCTAATTAAAGCCTAGCTCAACTGGAATTCCACGTGTAACATGTACCTATACCCAGCTGCCGATAAAAAAAATATAACTTGCTACAACCACAAATTAGGCACGCGATTTTAGGAATTTCGATACATGCTTCCCAAAGACATAGATATTATCGAGGAAGCGTCAGGAAACTCTATACTATAGTGCACACCCTTCCGGTGTCACTAAGAACCCCAGAAGCCTCCACTAGTGGCACTACCCGAGCAACACAGAGGTCGGTCGCTTCATCGGCCACTGTCCAGCCACTGCAAGGCAAATGATCGGGCCTTTCAATCATCGCCCATCGGACGAGGAAAAAAAGATTTAGCAGAAGCCCGACCACCGAGGACTTCGATTTACCTTCACGGGTGGCAAAAGGGCAATCCTCGGAAACGTCGTGGCCACCACATAGTCACAGATAGCTTAAAAAACACGGGGCAGGGCAAGTCTCAGGCATCTTACTATCGCTCCGCAACCATTAGGATTGTGGCATTAGCTGATCACACCTAAGGACGAAGCAATAGGCGTGAAGATTGCAAGCCATGCCCTACGTTACTTAAGCCGTCAGAGACTATGAGCACTATTTTTATGTCGGCCACCGACCAGGAACCATGCCCGGCACTTGCTCGGCCGTTTTCTGGCTTAGGGAACATCGACCATTCATTGGATGGATGGTGGGGAGGAGGACAGACCGTTACGCCCCAAGCGGTTAACTTATCAACTACACGGATGGGGACAACAAACACAATGACGCAGCGCTCGGCCGACATAACCGAACGCGGCGTCAGCGTTCGACTGGAGTTCGTGTTCTCCGGCGAGGGGGAGGAGCGGCTCTTTTGTTTTCACGACGGCCTGCATGAACAATGCAGCATGCACGGTCCCAGCTTAGCACAAAAGCCGAAGTGGGTCAAGCTCGCATTCTCAGAAGATAGATCCGGCACTTAAGGTCGCTTCGCCCATTGTTAGTATTTTTTACATTAAACTGTGCCCCGCGCTCTATTGTAGAAGATGACATGGCCATGCCTATAAGGCCTGTTGGCATGTGTACAGGCCTTGTGTTGAGTAAACACCGAGCGTGGGGAAAACAAACGGGTCAGAGCGCCCCCTATAGTTCGATCTCCTGCCCAATAGTAGGCGTCGAGCCAGCCACATCGGCCAGGCATCAACCTATGAAGAACTGCTTGGCCACAGGGATATGGCCACCCTATGACCATGCTTCTTGTGCCCCTTGTTTAAGCGCACCGAGGACATGTATTCATAGACACCAAGGACACGATATATTCAAGGACAGACTTACCAAACTGTAGTTGAAGGCTTGGGAGAGGATCCCTTCGTCCACAAGCTTCCGCCGGATGTATTCCGCTGCTTGCACCATGCCCTGCGGAAACGGGTCGAATTAAGAGCGGCAGGCGTCAAAATCGCGAGTCACCATGGCTGCGCGCTTTTTCGGCGCGCACACACACAAGAAAAAAAAAGGGAACTGCGAAAGGACTCACCTTGTGTCCAAGCCAGTCTTCGTGAGGAGGGTTAGTGGGCAGCGGTTCGCCCTCAGCGTTAAGGTCCGTCAAGACGTCCTGTATAAATAATAGTTTTCATTGCATACACATTTCGTCATTCATAGGTCACAGGCACATTCTATTCATATCTTAAGATTAAAGTGACCGGTCCCAGAATATAGGAACAGAGTCTTCAGATCATCAGATAGTCCTTAAATTGAATTGAAGATCCTTATTCGAAAACTATGTGTTAGTTTCAGTATACACTCAATTTCGTTACTAGATCTGGCGTTTATGGTAGTAAGCGCAACGGACTTGCAAGGTACACATAGCGACAAAGTGTCATAGGAGTGTAGTTTCAATATACCGGCAAGGCTGATATCATTCTTAAAGGGGCACTGACACCCCAAAGGTCGTATTTATTTTTATTGTCTAAAACGATGCAAGTTGCAGTCATAGACACGCAAAAAAAACCGCATCGCAAAAAAAAATTTTCCCGCGCGCGCGCGCGCCTTTTTATTTTTGGCGTTTGATTTTTCCCGCCTCTCGCCTCCTCGCTTCTTTTGATCGGTGACGTCAAAAATCAGGAAATTTAGAAGCTTTGTAGGCGACATCTCTATAACATTTAATTACGGCAATCCTAAAACATATTTTTTAACGCAATTGCGAACGCACTACGGCCCTTCTTTTTGAAATACCGAAAATCGGGAGTTCGTTGTGGTGCCGTCTCCTGGATTTGTATCCTCCAACGGAAAACAGGCGACACCGCTCAAAACCGGTCCGCCGCAACGCCGGGCGCTCGCTCCTTTCCTCCTCGCTTTGGGTCGCCATGGCAACAGCAGGGAGTGGTGAAAGGAAGTCGACTCTCAGGTCTCCGCAATTTTTGACGTCAAGGCACCGGCGCCGATCGCGCGGGAACTTCGAATTCGGCATTTGGAAATTGTTTTTTTACTTCACGAATACTGAATTCCCAAATCTCAAATTTTGAGGGTAATGTCCCGGCATCGTTTTCAATCGTTTCGGATAATAAAAAAAAATATGATTTTGATGTGTCAGTGCCCCTTTAAAGCACACTCTAAGAAAATAAGTGAGTCCACTTTCTTGCAGTACGCGGATACAGCGAATGACGAAGCTCAAGTTACGATTTCATCCAAAGATTCGATTTACGCAACACAGATGATCAGCTGCAGCAAAACGCCATGCTCATAGCGTCCCAGCAGACATCCCATTTTTCTGGTGTAAGCATGGTGGGAGCTTTGTCCGCCGCTGGGATCCTTCTATTGTTCACCGTGGTTGGCAGTCTAAAGCCGGGGTCACACTGCTCATACATTATACAAAAGACAGTCTGCATACAGATTCGAACGCGAGTCCATATCGAGATCCGTATTTCGAATGCTGCATGGCATAGAATTCAAGGAGGAACCCGGCACGCCGCATTTGAACCACGAATATTGTGGTACTCATGTTTGCAGACTGTCTTTGTGACCGTTCGGCAGTGTGACCGTTCGGCAGAGAGCTGAACTCACTGGCCAATTTCAGGGTGTAGGACATGTCTGGTTTCGAGCGAGAAAAACAGTAAGCGTCCGCGGATTACTGAACAATTCTTCGAATACCAAAATGGCCGCTTCCTGCAGCGCCACACCGAAAGTAAAGCACTCGCCTGCAGAGACAGGGTTCCTCGCACCGAGACCACCACCGTCCGCTTCTCGTGGTCCACAGCTACGAAGAATGGGGTCTCTCCGACCTGTGGACACGCGGGAAATGACCCTGCCTAAACCAGGGGCCTCAAAAACGATATCACAGAGAAGAAAACTGCCTGCGCTTTGGCGCTATCGTTAGTGGATCCCCGCGTCCCGCCCCAAGCGGACACCACACCGCAAGGTGACAGACGCGCGTCCGTATGCGGAGCGCAAGTTCGTCTGCTTCTTTTTCATTTATTTATTTATTACATGTAGCCTCAGGGCCTTTGGCATTGAAGAGGGGAGTGGTTACAAAAATAAATCATGATGAAGTAAAAGAAAGCAGTTACTAGAGGTATAAAAAAATGGCGTCTCTTCATACAATATTGGCTAAGGCGTTCTTCAACAGTTGGAGGTGTTCGAATGAAGCTGTTGGTACGGGAAGGCGATTCCACTTTTCTGATGTGCGTGGGAGAAACGACTGAAAAAAAGCATTAGTTCTGCACGATGGGACACCGACCTTATGGACGTGATCTAATCGAGATGAAACCTGTTGGGGAGGTAAAATACGTTCGGCGCGGAGATGGGGGTGATAAAACAACCAGTGAAAGAGGCAAAGACGAAAGTTTTTACGACGAGATGACAAAGGCGGTAAGTCGAGGCTGGATTTCATTGTGGTTATGCTCGCAGTTCTGTTATAGTTGGACAAAATAAAGCGAACAGAGTTATTCTGGACCATTTCGAGTGAGTGAATTAGATTTTAATGACAAGGATCCCACACTGAAACGGCCTATTCGAGTTTTGGACGAATTAGTTCTTTTTTTTTAAGTAAAAGTTTTAGAGATGAGGGAACTTTTGGCAAAATTATGTCGAAGATATCCCAACATACGGTTAGCGTTACTAATAATATATTTTATATGAACTGTCCAAGTGAGATTTGATGTGATGTGAATACCAAGATATTTATAACTAGTCACGGCGTCTAGGGGCGAGTTATGAAGATGGTAAACAGGTAGATTATGAATTTTCCTGGACACGAGCATAAATTTACATTTCTTAATGTTCAATTCCATGCACCACATTTTGCACCAAACAGAAATAGCGTTAAGATCGGACTGGAGCGTGTTAATGTCATTTTCACAAGTTATTTCCCTAAATACAACGCAGTCATCGGCAAAAATATGGGAAGAGACACAAGAGAGTAGATCATTAATCTATATAAGAATAAAAAGAGGTCCGAGCACAGAGCTTTGTGGCACACCAGAATGAACGCCACTCGGCTGAGAGAGATGAATATTAGCTACAATAACTGCGAGCGGTTGACCAGAAAACATTCAAGCCAGATAAGAAGTTTTGGATCAAGGTTAAGTTGGAGCAATTTGTAGAGTAATAACTTATGGCATACCTTATCAAAGGCTTTTGAAAAGTCTAGAAAGATGCTATCGGTCAATGAGAAATGGTCAAGAATGACATTTAGCTTTTGAAGGACTGATACCAACTGTGTTTCACACGAGTAGGTTTTTCGAAACCGATGTTGTGACGACGTAAAAAACGAATTAAATTCAAGGAAGTTGGCGAGGTTCGAAGACAGTATATGTTCGAAAATTTTACATGGAATGCTGGTGAGTGATATTGGTCGGTAATTAAGTGGAGAATGGTTGTTACCTTATTTATGAAGTGGAATCACCTTCCCGACTGTCCACTCAGCTGGGAGACAACCATTATCGATTGACTGTTGAAAATGTTTTGATAGCATAACTGAATAATAAAAGCTCGTACATTTTGACAATTTTGGGCTGATGAGCTCACAACCAGGAGCGGAGGGAGTTTAAGTGATGTAATTATGCTTTCGACACCTAAAGGCTCTATGATTATCGGGAACATAGTAGGGTAATCGTAAGAATTGGTAGTCGGTAGTGGGACGTTGGAAGTTACAGAAAAATTACGCGTAAAAATTTCATTGAAGATAAACGGACATTGTTGAGGGGGAATGAGATTCCCTGAGCTGTCAACTAGTGAAATATTAACATCATCAGCAGGGTTTATCACGCGCCAAATTTTTTTAATGTCGGTTGCAAGCATGGATGGTAGAGTAGTTTTATGGTATTTTTCTCTGGCTGTTTCAATTGCCGCCACGTGTTCATCGGAAGCCAGTTTGTAAGCGGTCCAACGAGCATCGTCTGAGGATGATTTGGCTGATCTGTACAATCGCTTTTTTCTGTTAGATACACGTCTGATGTGGGGAATATACTAGGAAGCATTACTGCTAGGTATGATAGTGCGGGTAGGAATGTACTTATTAGTTAAGTCGTTGATCTTGGCCACGAAGATATCCCAGTTGGATTGCACGCTGCAAATTTCAAAGTCCTTCAAAAAAGTTTCGAAGAATTTCAAATTCCTTCAAAATTTGCCTTTTAGTTTTACGAATAGTTTTCATTTTACTTTTAGAATTAACGCGCTGCGGGTTGACGTGAAATGACAAAAGGGAATGATCACTCAAGCCAGGTAAGTAATTAATTTCTGAGATGAGATCAGGACAAGATGTTAATGCAAGGTCTAGTGTATTCGCGACTGATTCGGTTATTCTTGTGGGTTGCCTGACAAGTTGCGTGAATAAAAACACAAAACACAGATTTAGAAATTTATCTGCTAGAGTGGAAAAAGGTTGCATACAAGGCGATTCGCTGTACCATAAAATATTAGGAATATTAATATCGCCCAGTAAAAATAAAGGTAATGTAGGATGATGAGACACAACTAGGTTAATTAAATCATGCAGCTCGTTTACGAGGGTGGAAGAATAATTAGGGGGACGATAGCAGACACCAACGATAACTCTTTGCTGATTTATTTCGATAATAGCCCATATTATTTCCAAGTTACTGGGGATATGAATACACTGGGAAGGCAATCCCTTAGAAATGGCCAAAAGAACGCCGCCGCCTTGACGCGTTGTGCGGTCGCAGCGATAAACAGAGAAACGATGTGCTGCCTCGAAGATTTCGTGATCGCGAAAATGAGGATGCAACCAGGTTTCAGTTAATGCTATGATATGAGCATTGCAGGTATCTATAGCTGAGGTTAGTGAATGGCGCTTATTAGTTATGCTACGAATGTTCCAGGGAGGAACGGATACATCAGATACGTTAAGACCACTGCCCCTCGCGTTTCCCTCTATCTCTCACCGTGTGCTGAGGCGCTGGGCTGTGGGTTTTCCGGAGCGCGTTGGAGCGCAAGTTCGACTACGCTCTCGGTTACCAAGTAATACACGTATTGCTTTTTTTTTTTTTATTACGAGCTTATTGTGGCGCAGTTTCGGTGACTCAGGCTGGTTCTTAGCAAACTCGATAAGCTTTCTTCGAGCATTACATGTGCAGAGCGAGAAATCTTCGCTAGCAGTAACATTTATTTCCCTCAGCTTAGCGCGTGCCGAAAGGATCTTTTACTTTGTAGCCAGAAAACTTAACTATGATGGGGCAGCATTTGTTCGGCGCAGGGGTTGTGGTGACGTCAGAAGTACGCTGAGCTCTGATTGGCTCTGATTGAAGAAGGATAGTGAGTAGACCTAAAGGCATCTTGCTTTGAGGTCTACTCGCTATCCCTTTTCAATCAGAGCCAATCAGAGCCCAGCGCCGTTCTGACGTCACTACAACCCCCGCAAAAAAAGCAGGTGACCTTGCGCTCCGCATCATCAGCATCATCAGCACAAGGTACAGAGCGCGACACTGTTAGCGCGAACAAGCGATCGCCGGTTTTTCCAGGTTTTCTCTTTTAAACCAAGCGATGTCATCCAAGTTATTATTGCTATGGAAAAAGCTCATATAGTTCTACAATGTAAGCGATAAAATTTTGTGCTCGCTAATACTATTTAGAAGTAAAATACGAAACTGTGTTCGCACTAACAGTGTCGCGATGTGTACTGTGCTGATGTTGCCGTAGGGGGAGGGGGGGACTCTGTCAAGCGGTTCTCGTACTGCTTTTTGCCCCTCTTCCCTCTCTCCTTGTATGAAGAGAAACAAATAAAACTGAATTTTCCTTTCATAAAGTAAGTAGACTCGGCGAAGAAGTGGTGAGACCTAGCTGGGGGGCAGCCACAACCCGAAACGCGTTCGAATAAACACCCCCCACAGCGGAAGCATGCGCTTCGACGCTCGCTAGACGCCAAGAACGCGCCTCGCGAAGAACCGTAAAGGCGCCCCGCTTCGCATGTCGGTCTTCATCGTCGCTTCGCAATTACAGGCCGTCCAGCACCCTTTGTAACATTTTTGCTTTTTGCACTCAGAATGTTGTCTTGATCATTGTACTCGGCAGTCTCTCACCATCGGTGGATAAGAGAGCAGCATTTGATTTGCACATTCCGCGATATCCACCGAACCGGGTCATGTCAATGGCAGCAGAGTACAGACAATGCCGTTGAGCCGCTGAAACGCACACAGAAACAAAGATTGAAGAAACGGCCGACTCACATCCACGTGGTACGTGACGTAGACCACCTCCATGTTGTGGTTGTTCACCATGTTCTTGAGGGCGGCGTAGTTGCAGTAACAGCAGTTGTCCTCCACCACCAGGGCGCGGTCGCGCTTCTTCTTGCGCGACGGAAGACAACAGCATCTGGAAGGGGAGGAACACCATGTATACCTAGAGAATCTGCAGTGCCTACTGGAAACACGAATCCTGACGTAAAGTTAAAATAAGCACAGACAACCTAAGAAACGTAGGACAATTAAGTTCACGCTTCTTGCTTCGTGATTGGCTCTTCACCGTCCCCATCATCAAGCACCGCCACCGCATTGGCTGGGCAACGATAATAAGATGCACGGGACTCGCCATACCCCGCGTTTCGTAACTTGTCGGTGACTTGCGGAGCGCAAGTTCGCCTGCTTGTTGCGCATGCGCAGTGGTGGCGGTGACGTCAGAACGCCGAGCTCTGACTGGCTCTGATTGAAAGGATAGTGGGTAGACCTCAAGGCATCTAGCATTGAGCTCTACCTTTTTAATCGAAGCCAATCAGAGCTCGGGGTCATTCTGACATCACCACAACTCCTGTGCCAGAAGCAGACGACTTGCCCTCCACATGGCGGCCGCAGTACACGAAGGGCGTAACAAGACCTGGGCATCTGATCACCGCTCTGCAGTCAATTTTTCACAGGGAAGAAGCTATAGGCCTTGAAATGTCGCAATTAAAATGAACCACTAAAATACACCTTCGATGAACACTTAAGATTGCTAGCTATATCCATGCGCCAATTTTTCCGGCCGATATTAGAACCAGCCTGGCGATGCCATAGAGCGAAATATATTAGTGTCTAATCTTTTCTAATTTTTTTTTTTACTGAACAAAGCACGGGGGAGTGGGTTTAATTGCTAACTCTAGGTAGCAGCCTTCTTGGTATCGGCGCTCCTCAGATTACAACACGAGGGGGCGGCTTGGTAAGGAAAGAACGAGGATGCGAAAAACGAGCCTCACCTGAGACTGGGGAAGAGCTTACAGCAGCCCGTGCCCCCATGGGACATCATGAACATGGGCCAGCCGTAGACTCCCAGGGCGTAGTGCATATAGTGGGTGATGGCCATGACCGCGTCGCAAACGTTCTGCGCAGTGGCCGGCAAATAATACGTTAATACCATGTTATGTTTAGCAAACGGAATGCTTTATGACGAAAGACCCAACTCCCAGGAATTCGTCCCTCAGTGCTGCGTCCGCGCATGCCCCATCGCACGTGCGGAACTGCGCCTGACGTAAGATTATGTGACGTCATGGAGTCACGTGACACTATGTCACATGACGTTAGGTTACGTGACGTCAGGGTGCCATGTGGCAACAAAACCTGACACCGTGACGTCAGGTTACGTTAAATGTCTTCTATACGACTGTAAACGATCGTTCCATCATTACTGCGTTGTGTGCGTTATATAGGACTGTAGAGATAAGGGTCGTTGCCAATGTTTTTTTTTTATTCTTATTTTTAACCGCGGTAACTTTGTTACTTCAACTTTAAACAAAAGTGATAAAACGCGCTGATTACGGAATTACACAATAATCTTCAGTCTAAACCGCCAGTTTCGACATTTACTGTTACAAACAGTCGGAATGAAAAAAAAAATGCTACCTGGTCCCTGAATCCTTAAATGTCCTTCTTTTTTATAGTTTATCTCGTGTTTCATGCGTAAATGCCTTGTTATAAACATTGAACGAGTTTTAATCTGCGAAGTGTTAATACATACAAGATGTACACATAATGATTTAGACATTTTATACAGGCTTAACACGTATGATCAAAAGTATTCCTACACGAAGCCTTCGTACGCAGCCTTAAAACTTATGCTTTTCGACGGTTTTATTATTTAATTCGATTGGAACGCTTAACAATTCGCGCATCTGGATTATCCCAGACTCTAAATAAACAGTTTTAATGTGCTAGACATTAATAGATGAAGTAATGATAGATATTGTCTTTGAACAAAGTCGTAATGCATAAATGTCTTCTAAACCACTATGTCTTCAGGCCTTAAGTAATGCATACGTAAGGCCTTATTCGGAATACATAAGGGAGTAATACATATAGTCATAATGTAGTCTCACACAGCCTCGTAATACGCGGCGTTGTAAGAAGGCCATAAGAGTTAATCAAGAGTCTCAATACATAAAGAAGTCAACAAGGGGCAGTTCGACGAAGCGGACTGAGAGAGGGGCCCTTATATAAACGTCCCGAAAATATACAACACATTTCGGGCACTTAAAGGGGCACTGACACATCAAAATCATATTTAGGTTTATTATCCGAAACGATTGAAAACGAAGCCTCAAAATACGAAACTTGGGAATTCAGTATTTGTGAAGTAAAAAAACAATTTCCAAATGCCGAATTCTAAGTTCCCGCGCGATCCGCGCCGGTGCGTTGACGTGAAATATTGCGGAGTCCTGAGAGTCCACTTTCTTTCACAACTCCGTGCTGTTGCCAAGCGAGGAGGAAAGGAGCGAACGCCGGCGGACCGGTTTTGAGCGGTGTCGCCTGTTTTCCGTGGGAAGATACAAATCCAGGAGGCGGCACCATAACGGACTCCGATTTTTGGTATTTCAAAAAGAACGGCCGCAGCGCGTTCGCAATTGCGTTAAAAACATGTTTTACGATTGCCGTTCTTAAATGTTATAGAAATGTCGCCTACAAAGCTTCTAAATTTCATGATTGTTCACGTCACGAATCAAAAGAAGCGAGGAGGCGAAAAGCGGGAGAGGAGGACGCCCAAAAATAAAAAGGCGCGTGCGCGCGTGGGAAAATTTTTTTTCGCGATGCGTTTTTTTTTTTTTGCGTGTCTATGACTACAACGTGAATCGTTTTAGACAATAAAAAAAAATACGACCCTTGGGGTGTCAGTGCACCTTTAAAGGGCCTTCAAAAATGCCAAGTTGAAATATCAGTGTTAAAAATTGTGTACACTTACAGGATGATTGACGTCTAAAAATCGGGTGCTTGGGGTGACAGCCACGCCAGAGAGAAACTGGTACGTGTCATTTCCCGTCTGTAAAGTGGACACGAGTGCGATGTTAAGGATCTTCACAAAATAAAACGACACCGTTCTCAGTAAAAAGGAAAAAAAAGTTGTGTCAAGTTGGGCGCATATATATAACTAACGAGACTTAGCTTTTATTGTTATGAACGACCTCGTCCTTATTGTATCGCCAAACTCCACAGGTGAATTGGTCCCGAATACACAGTTGCTTGACCCTTCGCGGAAAACAAATGATGTTCGTAAACCATGCGGCACCTACGTTGCACGTGGAAACGGAGTTCCGTGGAAACAGCGTCACTGTTACACCGTATACTGATGTAACCGTAATCGCAATTGGGTTTGAACCTTGATCTTGCACGGAAGGAAAGAATGTTCGTTTTTGTTTTCTGTTTGTAGAGTTCCAACTGCCGATATTTTAACTCCAGTTGCGAGATGGACTTCCCATGGCGCATGTGTGAAAGGGAAATTCGCCTAATTTTTAAGCCTTTCTGGGTTGCGACAGTGATACCTAGAGTGGAATAATTGCGGATATTGAAGTTAATCGTCTGGTCCGTTTCTGTTTACCTGATACTTCTCGCAGAAAGTCGGGCACCCGGCCCGATTTGTTGCTCTCCGGTTTGTGCCTCCATAGAATCATAGCTTTTACAACACGGATGGAGAATTTTGTGGCGCCTCACCTGATGCGCGATGACGAGCCTCTCCTGGCGCTGGAACTTCCTTAGGAGCACCAGGCCGGCGACCACGTCCGAAGGCACCACGTCCAAATCCCGGAAGAAATCGGAGAGAAGCTTGGCGATCTCCGTGAAGGAGTTCTGAAGGACCGTTACAAAGGCAGACACAAATCGCCGTTAGAGCGCATCTACAAACGACGGCATACAAAGTGAATGTAACTCGAGAAGCCACCTACCCGATTCCTGTCGTTGGTCCCCATACAACAAAAGAGAAGGCGACACCTCTTGTTCCAGCTGTCCTGGTATTCCCGGACTGCTTTCCTGGAGCAGTGAGACAGGGGACGCAATGACCAGAAGCATCCAGCCACCAAACTATTCCTCGATCAACGGCAATCCAGGAATAAAAACAAAAATTCCGCATGTCTTCATCATATTAGGTACACTCGGAGACGCCTGGGATATGCTGCAAATGAGCTGGGCGCATGCTGTGTGTGGACGATGTTGCGGGACATCAGGAGGCCACGTGACTTTGTGACGCCACGCAACGTCTTAATGTCGCGTGACCTCATGTCACGTGACGTCACAGGGAACGTGACATCATGGCGTCACACGACGTCATCCTGCCACGTGTCGTCAGGATGTCACGTGATGAGGTCGCGTGACCTCATCCTATGCGCCTTATGGGCTGATATTGACTATACTATGTCACTTTCTGTAAAATGTAACGTTGGAATCTGACGTAAGATTTTAAAGCTCGAATGTAAAGGTTTTTTTTTTGTGGAGATGAGCGTATAAACACATTACGCGTTAAAATTTATTTTCTGTCATAATCTTTGTCCCTTATTTTATTTATGTGTGTCTCAGGTTTTAGATTTGTTTCTATAACCAGTTCGCCTGCATGCTTCCTCTCTTTGCAATTCTTTTTCGCATTAAAGACGGGGTGATAGATGTGCCTACCTGTGCCTCCAGTTGCGGTGGGAACTGCCCGAGCGCTTGTACCGCAGCTTCCCGTCCTTAAGGCTCCTCTGGTAGCGTTTCATCTTCACCCATGTCCTCCCGGCGCGGTCAAACGTGCACCAGACCGTCACCAGGACGCTCAGAAGGACGCACCAATTGCAGACGATAATCCCTGTCACACAAGAGACATTCCTTGAGGAAAAGACAATCATCTCCAAGAGGTAAGACCTCCTGGTTGAGCAACAGTCCTAACCCGTTGTCTTTTTCTTTTATGTCTCTTTAACCCTAGTACTATCGCCCAAGCTTTCTCGTCGATTGCATTCCCCCAACCAGACAACTTTGTTTGGAGCGTAGCTCGTCCACTTTGCGCGACTGATGCACCGCTGAAAAATCCGCCCGGTCCACGGGTATCGATCGAGGGACTTCGACAAGACTAGTGGAGCTCTCTAAGAACTGTTCCCAGTTGTAGCTCACTTGGTAGAGCACTCTTCTAGTACTGGAGAGGTCCCTGGGTCAATGAATGGAACAGGCGCATTTTTAACGAGATGCTTAGTTGGTAAAACACTCATCTAGTCTTGGAGATGTCCCTGGATCAATGCCTAGACGTGGAGGTTTTTTTAACAAGGAGGCCACTTGGTAAAGCGCTCTGTTAGGCTTCTAGAGATCCGCGGATTAATGCCTGAACCAGGTGGATTACTAACAAGGAGCTTTGTTGGTAGAGCGCTCTGCTAGACTTAGACGGATCCCTCGATCAATTCATGAACAAGGCAAATTCATTTCAGCGATGAACCAATCGCTTAGAGGGTGCGATCTGCGCTCCATTTCAGGAAGAAGCCGATTTACTATTGGGCATTTTTTTTTTCAAGTTGTAAATTTACGTTGTTCAAAAGCCCGCAACTTCAACCGCTTCAAACGTTCAAGTTTCCTGAAACTGAAGCAAAATTTTCAACAAAAAACGACACCAAAAACTGCGTGAGTAAAGTAATAAGCGCCGTCCCGCACGCCCTTGCGCAAGCGGCCGTCGCAATTAAGAGCCCTCGTCCAGCAGCATGAAACTGGAAGCCGGGCCGGCACACAGCCTGATACACGTACCGGCGCCAAGGATAGTGTTCGCGTCATTATTTATTGCACGCCGAGCCGCGCGGAGCCCTCTAAAAGTCCGCCAAATTAGAACTTTTTTATCTTTGCAATTAATACGTAACGCAGTGTCACTTCAACGGACAACGGGTGTGAGGTCATCGGTAATATGCTGCACTTGAGCAAGTATTAATGTTTGGAATATACCAGTTGAGGTATATTTATGTCGTCTAGTGTACAACCAGTAGTCTACTCCACTAGATCGCACTTCATACGACATATCTGCATGAGCTCCGATCAAAACATCGGAGTTAAGGAAAGGCGAATCATCATCCATAATCACTGGCGTTACTGCCACTCAATCGTGATTTCGCTTATTTCAACAAATGGACAATTGAGCGACACTTATTGAGCCAAGGCGAAAGGAAATGTGTTTTGAAATGAACATAAGCAATGCTCGGTAGCAGTAGGAGATCTAGTGAGAGTTTGTTTATTGCCACGCGCCTCACACGGGGAAGCGAGCCTGAGGACCACTTGAAGTCCTTTCTTGGCAGATATCCGGTCCATAAAGTTTTACTACATGTTTTTCCTCACACAAGAAAATGCTTACCGTTCCTCACGAACACTTCGGAGAATAGAAGAAATGAACACGGGAATTTACGACGTACTGACTTCGACAGCCAGGAATTTGTTCAGCGCTCCACAACACCACGGTGGCTGGCGCGGCGGGACGCCGTATATGGTGTAAACTTACACCCGTTAGATTGCTTACAGTGAAGAATAAGTAGATATTCCTGTAACGTAACCACATCCCGAGTGTGGCCTCATAACGGAGAAGTAATAAAAGAGCAGCACACCCGGAACAAAGGACGTCACACATAGTTCTTAGAATATATGTGCGGCATACGTTCTTCTTGTTGCCCACTTTCGGCATAGACGACCAATTTGAATACAAGTGAAGTAGATATATACCCCTGCCAGACGGGAAAGTAAATGTCATTTTGATAGAATGTCATTCACCACTCGGCGAATCCGATCGTGATCCTGGTTCTGCAGGTGGCGGGTGCACGCGCAGCGTGGCGTATTAAGCGCGCGGATTGGCCGAGCTGTAATGTCATTTAGCTTAAATGTCATTTAACGTGCCCGTCTGACAGGGGTATAAAATTGCCAGAGTGGTCTCTCCCTCTCACTAAGCTTCCATTTGAATATCTTGTATCGCCCGATTAAATATAAAGATTACTTCTTCAATAAATTTCTTGAAAGACCTCACAGCAATAGGTCCAATTCCAGAGGTGTCACCTCTGGGGTTGTCCATAAAAACATTCGATGTGATCGGAAGCCAGGATGTGATAAAAAAAAAAAAAGCGCCTCTAAACATTCTTTGAGGGGAAGAGATCGCGATGGGAAAGATGGGAATCTAGGGAAACGCGATAGCACAAGATTACTATAGGCCGTTGCAAGAGGAGAGGGTAGGGCGAGGGTAAGACGGGACGGGGAGGGGGAGCAGACGGAACGCTAAAGAGAGAAGGAGGTTTCTCCCTCTCTTCTTCAGCGTTTCGTCTGCTTCCTCCTCCCCGGCCTTCCTTTCTCTCGTCTTACCTTCTTCAGTTGCAACGGACTATAAACCTTTTTCGTGCACTCTGGCCCCAGCCACCTGATAGGCATGTCCGGTATGGCCGACGAAAAAATGATAAAACGTTTCAACCTGTAAATAGTAAATAAATAGAGGGGAGACACAACGAGAATGTGTGACGGTTACGTTTGTCTCCTAAATGTCTTCTATTGGCGTGGCGACGGCAAAACAATGTTTTCGTCCTTACTGGAAGTGACGACAATTCGAGATGGCGGCACCCTTGTGAAAGAGGTCTATAGCTTCTACACTGGAACAAAGACGTACCCAGGACGGCGTCCTTGGCCAAGCCCATGGGGCAGCTGTCATAATGGTTGCTCACCCAGATGACTCCGACGACAAGCCACGAGACCTCGACAAGCAGGATGCCTGCATCAACACATGCCCACAAAATCAACTTCGGAAGATTGTGGCAAAAAGCATCGAAGCAATGTTTTTTTTGTTTTTCTCATAGACACGGTATTAAAGGGGCCCTCCGGAGCGTTCTGCGATGGTCTATTTATGGCGGTAACTCAATCTACAGGCCCTAAGGATCCTAAAAATCGTAAAATTACGGTCATGCGCGGCGGATTTCGCTATTAAAATTGCTATCAAAGTCCCCGGCAGGCCCCCCTTTCTGAGATGACCCCGGAAAACGGGAGGGGCATCTTTTTACGCGTCAGCCAATAGCAAGCGAAGGATTCCGGCGTCACTGTGCGTCACCAACGCGGCCGACCACCGACCCGCGGAGGAATCTCTCCGGACTTTGTGGCCGGCAGTCGTCGTTCGTCGCACCGCACCGTCGCGCTGCTACTGCAATACGCAGTCGCATTCCACAGATGACAAGGAAAGGTTTGACTCGTTGACGTGGAAGGATCGCAAAGCGGGCTTCGGAGTCGGGATCCACGGGAAGAAGGAACACGTGTGTCGCAAACGCACGCCTGCACACGCCCCGGGAAACAGACGCGACGCGCCGACGCATCACCCCCTAGCAACAAGCTTGCGGGGAGAAAACATAGTTCACTGGTTTCGGAGCGATAATTGCGGACTATGTTTCCCGCACCACAATCAGTTTACGTTTTTCTCAAACTCTAATTTACAACGAGCTTAAAAAGTGTTGCAGTAATAACGTTCGCATTCGCCGCGAGATGCAGCATTTTCATTGGTCAAGTTTTAGCGATGGGCAGGGAGTGGGGGATTGTCTTCCAAGAGAAAATAGTCCCGATATATTTCTTCTGCCATCTGCTTAATAAACGGTTATGTAATCTAAAACTTTGTATACATATTAACTTGCACCTACTACGCAATATAACAACACAAAGAGACGATCGCAGAAAGCTTTGGAGGGCCCCTTTAAGACGGGCTTGTCTTGCTTTCTCCCAGTCCCGCGGTTGAAAACAAGCCTATTCGGTTACGTTTCAAGTGCTGCATAACGACCATTAAACAGAATAATCCAGCTTTAGAGGACCCCATCCTGCTTACATTCGCACGACGCCGCTTTTCGACGAAGCATCGTAAACTGAATAAAGACAGGAAATATTTTCCGGCATAAATTTGGAAATGTTTTCATTAATCCCGACATAGGCGAGGGCGCGCTAATTATTTCCAACCAATGGGAAGTCCATAGGTATTTCACACAAGTCAGTCACAGATAATAGCGCATGTCATTCCGTGCTTCGACTACTTCCATCTCCAAGTACATGTTTTGGAAAAAAAGGATAGCAGCCAAGCTGATGAGCTAATTACTGATTACCAGGTCTAGAACCTTAAAGTTAAATAAAACAAAAAACAATACTGCAGAGCCACATGAACATATCCGTGATCTCCCCCTCCCCTCCCCCTCCATTTTCATGACGATGACCCATCGAGAATAAAAGTTGCCGATCCTTTCTCTAAGATCATCTAGACATGCAACATGATGCAAGCGCATTTGTGCTAAACGAAGGGAGCTCGCCCAGCTCGCAGATATGTTACAAAAAGGGAGGACCGGAGGCGGTACCAAAACACCGCTAACCAATCGCTCGAATGTATACGGGCAGGCAGTTGATCGATGAACTTACCTATGAGTAGAATAAAGCTGAAATCGCGATTAATTTTTTTAACTGGTTAATCGGTTAAACTTTGACAAACGTAAAAAAATATACATAAATTGAAAGCTTTCATCACGCAGACGTGGACGACTACACCTATATAAAGGCAAACGTTACGTGAAATTCGGACCTAAAGTAAACTTACTTTGTAGCTCTAAACAATTGGAGAAGAGTTATACGTGTCTTGGCCACTTCAACGTCGTGCGAGTTTCAGTTTAGCGCAGTAGGGTCTATTGTGAACATCCAAAGGAGTTCGTATTGATGAATATCAACGAACTTCCTTGCCTCAGCGGCTGAAGTAATAATTTGTGAGTGTCTTTCGAATGTTGTCAAGTGCACATTAAGGTTGTGTTTTATGTCCTTCCCATTATTTACATTGTCCTTACCAGCACGCTCTTTATTCCAAGTACATTGCTCCGTTCATCACATCGTCACCAATGGCGAAAAAAAAAGAGAAGGTAATTATCACTTTTAAGAAAAAAAACTATTACGCATGAGATGAACATAACCAATGAATCGATTAATTAATTTATCAAAGGGTGGCGATTAATAGGGTCAAAATTTGTTATCGACGCCTAGCCATAATTACGTCTTTGCAGAGTTAACTGATTCAGAGCCAGAGTTCGACAAATATCCTTTCTGCAGATAAGCTCAAGAGTATGCCCATCCTATGTCTCATTAACCCATCCACAGCGAAGTAAAGATCTACAATTTGTACTTCACAGCGCATAAACGTCACAGCGCATAAACGTCAATTCGTATTTCACAGCGCATAAGACGTTTATGCGCTGTGAAGTACAAATTATGGAAAACCAAGCAGCCCAAGCTGCGGTGTTAACAAAGATCTACAAGTCGCACAAAGTTCACAGACGGTCCGAAACATGTCGACAAATAAAATAAATATACAGACCCATTCATTATTTGGTTATGGACTGACAAAAAGTCGGGTAAGTCAGAATGAGTCTATCCGTTGTATTTCCAAGTATAGCAACAGTACGTAGAATTGCCTATTCCGTTTGTATACAAATCACCATATGTGCAAATGCCAGCTAGCAGACAAAAACACATACAGAAAAAAGAACACGCACACAGACACACAAAGACACAAACAAACCCCATTTCGGGCATTGACCCGTCAGAGAGAATACTATCTGGAATACTCAGAGACAAACTGCACACAAAGGATGTGTGCAGTTCGTCTCTCGATATACAGGGTTCAGGATTTTTTTAAAATTCAAATTAGACGACGCGCCTTTATGCTAGCACCGTCTTTCTATGTGCCCATTAAAAAGATAACGAATTCCAAGTTTTGAACCCGTACGTGTCGCCGGGGAATGGTGCCTACGTGCAAAACGCAAAATAAAACAAAACAAAAATTAATCTAAAAAATTTAAAGCGCAAGAAAAAAAAAAAAGAAACGGACGAGAAAGACACACATACAACACGGACTGGTGCTGACTTTCACCTGATTTAATCGAGGCAGTCAAACCAGCACGCGTACGTGAGCACTCCGGCCTATCTTGCCACCCCTCGTGATCAAAGCAACCCTACAAACACATACAACGCGTAAACGACGCTTCAAACATTCGTATCAGTTCAACGCCGTGTCTACACAAAACCATTTAGAAAAGAAGCATCCTCGTCATTTAGGAAAATCAAGGCGTGCTGACGCAGTTGTCACATGAGGATGTTGCAAAATACGCTTCAACTATTTCCATTTCGGTCTTCTTATTTTCTCGTTGAATGAATTTGGTGAAATCTAAACTACAATCACACCCGCCCCGCATGCAGTGCACTGCAAGATGTTCATCCGATTTGTTACGAACCACTAGACGATGTCCACGCGCCTTTTCATTAAAAAAAAAACACCCAGTCTGTCCAATCTACAGGTTGTCAAGAGAAAAGTTACACGGTCTATTTTACCGCAAAAATGAACTACGTATCGCCGAACGCTCATTCTCCGCCCAAAGGTAGAGCTAGAGGTCACCACCACATGCCAAAGTTTCAGCTCAATCTGCCGATACCCTGTTCAAAAGTTATGAGTGATTTTCTGAAAATTTCAATGGGAAAATGGCGGCCGACGGAGTTTTCGAACATATGGGGATATGGCACCAGAAACCGTGACGTGTTTCTTCGAGTATTGAACACGCGTCTGTCTAGTCATTATGGGACAAACTTTTGCCAGCTTGCATAAAGCGGAGAAAACAAAGTTGACGTCGTACTTGATTGCGATTTTAATGTTATGCAACAGCTTGTGTAATTAAGCTTAAGGCATCACTTGAACATTTTTTTTTTTTTTTTACTTTTTCTGGCTGACCGTTTCCTGTGTTGTCTTTACCTTGGATCTTTTGAAGAAGGTTTTCACATGAAATCAAGAAGGCGGGGTAGCCCGCCCTGTCTACGCGTTCTACCTGAAGTTTAAAGCTCGTCAAAGCGTAATGGCGCATCGTTTTTTTCAGAGAAGTCTGAAGACAAGTGAGAGAATCGCTTTATCAGCTTAGAATGAGCGCTATCAAAAGACGAGAGGCTCTTTCTTGAACGCGGTTAGTAAAACCAACCCACGTGATCATCAGTAAAAGTAAACTGCAAGAAAGTGTATTTTCTAGATGTTTTTTTTTGCAGACACGTCGTTGCCACTGATACGAACGTTGGAAGCATTGTCACGTGTTGTATGTGTTTATAGCAGAGCTTTTATCACAATGGGTGGCAAGATAGATAAGCAAGAGTGTGCGCGCATCTGGGCTGGTTTGACCGTCTCGATTAGATCAGGTTAATATTAGCGCCAGTCCGTGTTGTATACGTCTGCCTTCCTCGTCCGTGTTTGTTGTTGTTGTTTTGCGATTTTAAGGTTTTCAAACTATCATGAAACAAAGTTTTCAGAAAAGACTGCAATTTCAAAGGCGTGGGGAAAGGCAAGCTGACAAGAGAAAGGAAAAGCGGAACCCAGAGATCCTGAGAGGTTAACCCGCAAATCGGAACATCACGACGTTAGGAACTGTGAGATAGGCCTGAAAAGCCGGACACCACGAGCCCGCAAACCACTTGGTAGAGCCAATCGCTGCAGTCTACGCTCGGGGAAGGACGGGGCCGATCGCATGTTTAGACCCCTCAAAAACCGGCCCCCGCTGTGACACGGTGAAACGTTATCCTCAAAGTGTCATTGCAGACTTTCATTTCTTTTTAAGGTCGAAACACATTTCCAGCCTGGTCATATATGCCGAGCTCCTTCCGTAGATGGCGAGGATTACCTCTCCCAATTTCTTTACGGGTAAGTATGCACTAAATATTGTTACACCCTTA